TGAGTGTTGCTCAGTGGATGTCATCAGAACTGGAAGTAGCTTTGACCGGAGCTTCCTCCCAGGATCAGATACCAAGGGCTCGGGATTAATTTTTCATTTGTAGCGTTACTTTGAAGAGCTGTTACTCTAGATGAATGGCTTTGATGCAGAGGCTGTCTGTTCCCATGGCAATTAGCACTTGAGTTCCTTCCTGGGGGAAGGAGGGGGCTGCCCGGAGCCTGCAATCCCTGCAGGGAGGCATGTCCCCAGGGAGGGGGCCCATGTCCCCACACACCTGTGGAAGGGCTCTGCTCACACACACACACTTTGTGTTGCTCAGGCCAAGCTGCTTTCTAGAATTCAAAGCAAATATTTACATTCTGAGGCTCCTCTGTATTTATGCTGGGCTTCCGGCTCCTCTGTCAATATTTGGGAAGCTGCTCCTGGTCAGTTCCTGTTGACTTTTACTGAAAAGTGGCCAGTGAAGCAGTAAATATTTTTGTGCGTGTGACAATACAGCTGGTCGGGGCAGATGAGCTCTTGAGCAGATGTTGTGATCCAGGACAGGAGTAGCTACAGCCTCTGGTTGCAACAGCAGGTCCTAAAAGACTGCCTTTTCCATGAGCCTGGTGTTCGTTGCTTGTGCAGGGAGTAGCTACAGCCTCTGGTTGCACCAGCAGGTCCTAAAAGACTGCCTTTTCCATGGGAACTGAGAAAGCAATGCCTGTCCCTCTGTCAGGCTCCCAGAAAGCCAGACTTTTGCCAGGGAAGAGCTGTCAGGGGTGCACTGGGCAAACCACAGCTGGGAACTCAGAGCTGTGGAAGGGCAAAGCGAGAGAAAGAGCCCTGTCAACAGTCCCAGCTCAGCTGCTGCTCTGGGAGAAGTTCTCCCGGTGCTAATAAACTGGGATGAACTTTGCCTTTGCTTTTTGGGTTTGAATGTAACAGCCAGTTACGTCAGGGCCTTTGTGGGAGAGAACTGTGTCAGCCAGAGCTGCTTGGACAAACCTCTCCCTGATGGTGAAAGGAGATGGTCCTAGTGGGTCTCCCAGAACCTTCAGGCCCCACAAAATCGTAACCATCAGGCCCCGGTGTACTTCTGGGAACTAGACTGCCCTGAGAATGAATGTTTAAGCCTGAAACACTGTAAATGATGCTCTGTTGTCCTTGTGTCTGGGTTGGTAGCCCAGAGGAGTTGCTCTGGGAGCAGTGATGGATGTTGCCTTGTTGCCTTCTGCCCTGCCCTGCAGCGAGAACCCTTTGCCGATTGTGGAGATCGCCATTCGCAACACGGGGGATGCTGACCAGTGGTGTCCTCTCCTGGAAACCCTCACAGATGCCGAGATGGAGAAGAAGATCAGAGACCAGGACAGAAATACAAGGTGCTGCCACTCGTTCAGACAGTTCTCCTCCTGGCCCGTCTCTAAGACAGAAGTTAAAAGCTTTGATGTTTGTCTTTCCCTACTGAGAGCCAGCTGGCAGGATTTCAAACTTGCACACCACAACAGAAACTCATTTTGCTTCAGGATATTAAACTGTTATCACCTTGCTCCACAAACATCGACATCTCTACTTTAACCATCTCCTGCCTGAAGCAAAGTTTCCTTTGTATTGTTCCCTTTGCTTTCTTTTCCCTAGGCTCTCTGCTGGTGCAGGGGGATTTGTTTCTATAGGAAGGCATTCATAAAAAGATATTGGAGTTCCACACACTGTCCTGCTACCTAAAGTCCTGCCACGAGGGGTGTAGGGTAAAGTGCTGTGAGATGTAGGAACGGGTGAGCTCGATTAATCAAAAATACTGGAGTTCCACACACTGTCCTGCTACGTAAAGTCTTGCCATGAGGGGTGTAGGGTACAGTGCTGTGAGATGTAGGAACGGGTGAGCTCCCAGCTCTGGCCTGGCTGATGCTGCTGTATTTGCTGCACGGGATGGGTGCTGTGATTCCTGCAGGAGCTCTGCTGCAGAGAAACCCACCGAGCGGTGTGTGATGTGCTCCGAGAGCACTTCCTCCTCTTTGGTGAAATTGCTCCCAGCACAGATAGAAATGAACTCCTAGAATCTCTCCAAAAGATAGATACACTGTGGGAAGAGTAAATACGCTGGCTCAGCTCTTTCCCAGGATTTTTTTTCACTGTGGGAAGAGTAAATATGCTGGCTCAGCTCTTTCCCAGGATTTTTTTTTTTTCCGGTGATTAGCAGTTTCATAATTGTTTTGCTGCTTGGCTGTGGCCAGCTGAATAGTTTTCAGTGCAGATTGGTTCAACCCAAGTTCATGAGCACAAGAGCACTAAAAGCTGTTGCTGAGAACGGTGTCTGAGCCTTTTCAACAGGGGCATTCTCAGGTGACTGGGGGAGTCTGTCCAGGCAACAAACCTGTCTACAGAGTTCACAAAGCTCTGGCAGCCTCCCCAAAAGCATTGGTTTTAGTAAGACTTGATGTGATGGTAGCACAGCACTCACTGTACCTCTCTTCTCTCTCTTGCAGGCGTATGAGACGTCTGGCCAATACTGCTCCAGCCTGGTAATCTTCCCGTGGTGACACTGGTGCTCTTCCTACAGACTTTATCCCTCCTCCTCTCCCCACATGGATCTAGGATTGGCAGGGGTCTTTCTGTCCCTGAAGGGGACACACATTCCACTTGCCAAGAGTTCCCAGTACTGCTGACTTCTGTCCCCAACCCCTAAATGCCACGTACCAGGAACGCTGCGGTAGCGCCTGCTCTGGCCCAGATCTGTGGCAGCTCTCAGAGCCCTTATATACCTGTGTGTGGACAGTGTAAAGATTCTTTTGTATAGGTGCAACATGCACTATTAGGACAACTTTTTAAATAAAAGGAATGCATACTACTCGGGCTGAGTTCAGTATGTTTGAATGAATAGCAAATCTCACCATATTTTGTGCTATTTTAGTTAACTGAGCAGTCCCGTGGCCTCAGAGTAACATTTTTGGGTATAATGCTGCACACTCACATGCCTTCAGTTTTCCTGAAGTGTGGTGGAAACCAAGTGCTTTACTCTAACAGATAAAGCAGCCCCAAACCCTTTGCTGCAGGGGAAGGTGAGAATGAGACTCAAAAGCAGAAGCAGCAAATGATTCCCTAAAGGAGAGAGTCCTGTCAGGAGCTCGATGGGGTGTTCAGCTGGCTTTGACAAGGGTACAGTGATGTCACTAAAGTCACAACCTTAACCCTTGTTTGTCAGATACCAGCCTGGTGTGTGGGGAACCCTTTTACTGCTGGGAAGGCTGCATCTGGGAAACAACAGTCTCTGAACTGGTGCAGAAGTTGCAGTCACTGAGATGCAGTTTCTCTTCAGCGAGGGGCTTTGCTGTGGTCACTGTCAGCCCCCGCAGCAGAGTGGGTGTCTTAAATACCCCTGGCACTGCAGCATCAGTCTGTCTTTGGGGAATTTAAAAACAGAAAATCCATTGAAGTGAGATAAAAAAAATGCAAGCTTGCTTAAAATAAAGCTAATTGGAGGCTACATTGCCATTGAGGTCCAGCAGCTCTTTGATAGAGTTCTGGCCTCTCACTGCCAGGATGGAGGAGCGTTGGGAGGGGGCAGGCTCTGCTGGCAGCCCCCCCGTTACCTCCAGGCCCTTAGGAGAAAGGCAGTAGGTTTTAGGATCCTCGCTGATCCACCCACACTGCTAGCACAGTCACAAAAACCCCACTTTCCGGCCTTAATTTATCATGTTTAGACTTGAGTAATAGCAGAGCCAGTTCAGATTCCTGGGTGGGAGGGAACTTTTTCCAGATGTTAAGTCTGCAAACTTAACCAAAAACTTGCACTTTAGCAATAATATTATTGCAGCCTTATCCTGGGCTGCTGTGCCTGAGCAGTGTCCTTCTCAGAGAGGCTGAAAGGTTATTCCAGCAAGTAGGACAAAACCTGGGGCTCCGGCTGGGCCTCCCATGTAGAGCATGTATTTTGCCACACGGCCATAAAAACTCAACTCTTCCCAAAAACACTTCAGCCTCTTTGTTACGGTTACGTACTTCTGCAAGCAGCATCTTGACCAACACAAGCACAAAGCTGCTGCAGCCTTAAACTAGCATCTGTGGTAGGGTTTCTGAATTGCTGTGAAGCTTGTGGGTCCAGAACCCTGAAGCTCACACCAAGGTACAGACACACAAGGGCTGCAGCTTCCCCAGCAGGTTTACAAGTACCTCCTGCTGCTCCTTGAGCCCCAGGGACACTGTAGGAATTGTCCCTCCAAGCAGAAGGTGGGAAACCAGGATAGTTCAGGGGGCCAGGTCCCAGAAAGAACTTCATCCAATTTCTCCATGTATTGGGACTGGTAGGGAATGGCTAGGAGTAGCTTTCTGGCTTGACAATCACGACTCCTTAATCTGGTCTCCCAGCTAAAAGCACAGCCCAGCTTTTGCATTTCAGAGTCCTATCTCAGAAGCAATTTAAAACAGAACATCTGCAGACTTTAAAAACAAACTCTTTCCAGGGGTTGAGGCACCGGTTCTGTGTTACTAGGTCCTGAACCTGCTGAATCTGAGGTTGCTTAGCCCTTGGTACTGCTGTCTCTTCTGGAAGATCACCATCTGAACAGTTCTTTCATCCTCTTCCTACAGGGAAACAGAAGTGCAGCAAAACAACTTGTTCAAATAAAGTCTGAGTCTTCACCAAAAAAAAAGGTGTTTTCATGGGAAGCCCACAGAGGAGGAGGTGGGAGTGAGGGAGCTGGCGTTCAATCTTCCTTTGCCACAAGGCTTCAGCATCATTTTTCCTAAGCAGATGCTGGTTACTCACATTTCTCTTTGTAGTTTGGTGGTAGTTCAGAGGCTTGTCCAGCTGAGCAGACGGAACGTCACCAACCCAGCTGTCCTGAGATACAGTGTTTGTAGCTTTATTCCAAAGGCTTTGAGGTCTGGTCCTGCCTTAGCAACAACGATCACCCCCATGCAGTACAGCTGTCCCTGGCAGGGACTAGCTCCTTCAGTTTTGTTCTCAAATTCAGATGTTTATATTGCAGAACTAAAAAAATTCAACAAGAGTGGAATGACACTGCACGTGCAGACAGCCTTTATTACCAGTGTCAAGTGCTACTTCCAGTCCCTGCCTGGCTCAAGTGTCCGGCTCCGTCCCCTCTCCTTTCCCAGAAATCCCTGTCTCCAAGCAGACACCCCCAACCTTCCCCATGCTCTGCTCTCCTGCTGACACAAGAGTCCAGCAAACCTGGACTTCGCTTTGCCCACCAAAAAAAGAAAAGCCCAAGCAAACAGCCTGGTGGTTTTAAGCAAAGTCCTAACGAATACAGGTGAACTGCTGCCTCTGCCCCTGGCAGAAACGGACACAACTGAAAAATAAAGATTTTAATGTAAAGACTCTTTGGAAACAAGAACTGAAAAAAGGGGTGGGAGACTTGGAGGAAAGGAAGAGGCTGAGCTGCATTCTACTATGGTAGAGCAGGGAGTTCTACTTCATTGAAAGCCCACAAAGAGGTCTCACAAACAGCGAGAGCCGAGAACATTGGTCTTTGTACAGAGTGATCTGGCACACAGCGAGTCATTAACAGCAAGAGGAGGAGTAACTGGTTTAACACCCCGTTTGATACTTATTCCCCCCCAGGTAACTGAGGAGCCATCACAACTCCCAGCCCCTGTCCCTACAACACCTCTGAGAGCATCAGTTCTCACATGCAGGGCCCTGTGGAACCGCTGGGTACCAGGGGAAGAGGAGTTACCCGTACAAACAGCGAGACATCACACATTGGAATGGCAACTGGTGTTATTCCAGTAGGATCTCTGGGCCACAGCGTAAGTCCAGCCGGGAGAGAGGAATCTGGCCACAGCATGAAGTCCTCTGTTACTGTGGGTGCTGCTGCTGGTTTTGGTCTTGGTCTCTAGGTTGGTTTTCTGGATGATCCTCAGGGAGAGGGTTATAGTTGGGATCCTCTTCAGGTGTGTCAAATACCATCTTCCTGGTAAGGGACATGCCCGTCCCACCGAGCAGGCAGGTTAGGACAGGGAGCTGAGGGCATGGAAAAACCCCAGCCCTCCTGGGAACACCCCAGCTCTTCCCAGGACTTGGCTTGTGTCACAGCCACCCCCTATTGTGCCACACAAACTGTTGGCTCAGCTCGACGTGTGACAGTACCTTCCTTGATCTCTGGGTCAGCTTTGAGCCTCAGCATGAAGCAGAACGTGTTCTGCTTTATTAAACTACAGAAATACATCAGAAAAAAAATCCTACCAGCATCTCGCATTTCCATGAGCAGTAAGAATGCTCTGGTTCAGGTAGCAAAGCTGAAGGTACCAGCAGTTGCTTTATGGCCCCTGTGTATGTATATAACGTGCAAAGTGCCAGCACTTTCTGCAGCAGAGGCATAAACTGGTGAGCTGAGGTCCTATCAGCATGCCATTGCATTCTGTGGTCACCCCACGCTGGCACAGACCAGTTTGCTGCAGAAGTGACCCAAGCTGGGGAGCGACACGGCAAAGCCCAGAAAGAATCAGCTGTACTTACAGGAAGCCAGGGGTTAACAGCAGTTTCTTTCCTCCAGGCTGGTTGGGGAAAACATCTTCCAAGAAATAATAGATGTGACCCACAGCAATCCCTGGGGAGAGATGTGACCAAGGTCAGGCCCAGCTGTGACTCCTTTGCCAGCTGAACCAGAGGATGTAGCAAAGTGGCTGCAAAGTGCCCTTGTTCCCAGCACCCACCAGCTTTGGCTTACCCAGTAAGTCGATGATGATGGAGTTGCCCAGGAGCAGAGAGAATCCCATCAGGACCCAGGGCAAGAAAGGGGCCTGGAAATTAAGCAGCCCAAAGAAGTTCATGCGGATGTAAGGGTTCCTGCGACTCCACACGTACACCAGCATGATGGTGAATGCCTGGCCCAGGAAAAACAGGCTGGCAAAGAGGCCAAATAGCTAGAAACTATCGAGTCAAGGAAAAACCTGCCCACCCTGTGCACCACCTCCCACTCTCCCCAGCTAAGGTGCAGCTGGACAGCTTCTCAAAGAGCAGAACAACTGCTTTTCAGACAGTCTCCCCAAGCTCAGACACCGCTGCCCTGCTGCAGCTGGACAGCTTCTCACAGAGCAGAACAACTGCTTTTCAGACAGTCTCTCTCTTCACTTCCATAAACGCCACCACAAGTACAGGCAGATTTTCCTGTATTTTACTTCTGCTCTAGGCATTCTGGGTGAGGCACAGACCAGGGGTGGGCAAGACAAGGGGCATAAGCTGTGCCACACAGCCAGAAGTTGGCCCTCCATCACCGAAGAGCACCACGTGCTCAGCAGAGCTCTCCCAGGCCTCAGGCCACAAACCTGGCTGGTCTGGGGCACCATAAGGTGCTCTGCCCCATGGCACCAAGGAGATTCACAAGACAGCTGTACCACTGCTCAGCAGGCACTGCTGCTACAGAGCACACAACACAGCCTGGCTAGCAGCCCCAAACTATCCACAGCACCTCAGAAGACACCAGAAGAACCTCAACTAACTCAAAAGGATACTGTCATGAGAAACCCTCCGAAGAGGAACATGAAGACGAAGTCAGCCGTCCTTCCACGGAAGGAGCCTTCTTCCAGCATGCGGCAGTACCTGTACCTGGGAGCGGGAGAGAAGGAGGGGTTGCAGTATAGGAAATTAACAGCTGGCCACCCCGTGTCCCCACAGCACGACTTCACAGGGAATAAGCCAGCTGCAAGCTCTTTCATCCCAGGAAGCTGTCAGCCAGGTGTCCAAGCCCCAGAGCAGAACAGCACAGACTTCACCTCATACCACTGACCCCAGGGAAAGAAAGAGGCATCTGCTCTGCTCCAGCCAGAGCTCCCCCCAGGAACGGGCACTGCTCTCCAGCATGAGCCGCAGCAGCACGGCCAGCTTCTTCAGCCCTGCCCCACAGCAAGCAGAGATGGAGGGGGCAGGAGGTGGCCACAGTTGCCTGGGGAATGGCTTCAATTCAGACCGAAAGAAGCCAAGGGAAGAACCCACAGCCCTAGACTGCTGCCCAGACAGGTCAGGCCGAGGAGGAAGACGGACAGGGGGGAAATCGCGTCTAAGCCAAAAAGGGAGCAGAGAGCTTCACTGAGACCAAAGGATACAGAAATATCATGTTGAAAAAGAAACTGAATCCCAGGGGCCCAAAAAAGAGGAAGTTGGTGATCAGCCTCCATATCTGAAAGAGAAGAGAGAGGAGAGAGAAAAGGAGGTGGACAGACAGGTCTCTCCCCATTATGTGTAAGGTCCCTATCCACTGGGGACACCCACTCATGCATCCATCTGCTTCACACCATAACAGGACACCAGGCACCTGCATGTGGGACCTCCCTCCACTGCCCACATGAGAGAACCTCGCTCCTCCAGGTGGGGGAAAGATTCCCCTGGTTTTTTGGAGGGGACAAACAGCCACAATTCAGCACCTGGAGCCACAGTAAATCCCTGTTCATGCCACTCTACAATAAAGCCCCCCTATAATAAATTCCCCCCACCCAGCCCAACTGGCTGGTCAAACATCTCACTCAGTATCACAGAGCGGGGAAAGACAAGGTTTGAGTTTCCCCCCACCCAGCCCAACTGTCTGGTCAAACATCTCACTCAGTATCACAGAGCGGGGAAAGACAAGGTTTGAGTACCAGAAAAAAGGAAATGCCAAGATGGCATATGGCAGGGAGAGGCTGGAAGAAGTGATCTCCATCCAGGCATCTGTGACAAGGGGGGACACCATGGTGGCGACCCCACTATTGTCAACCAGAGAAGGCTGGAGTAGTGGGAAAGAAGCCCCTTGGGATCCTACAGCTCTCCCTGACCCCCCAGGGAGCAGGACACCCTAGGCCCAGCCTATCACACACCCCCCTCTCTGGGAAGGGACAAGAAGGGCCCCAACACATGGACAAGGCCTCACCTGGAACTTCCTGAAGATGAGGTCAGGGTTGAAATACAGCTGGAAGGGGGTGATGAACTCCAGCTGCTGTGAGAGACAGGCAGAGCAGCTGCCACCCGCTGCCATCCAGCCCCCTGGTGTCCCCACTATGGCACCCCCTTAGGTAACCCAGCCTCCCCCTCAGGGACCCCAGCCTCCCCACCATGACACCCTCTCAGGTAACCCAGCGTCCCCCTCAGGTAACCCTCTCAGGCAACCCAGCCTCCCCTTCAAGTAACCCAGCCTCCCCACCATGACACCCCCTCAGGTAACCCAGCCTCGCCCCCAGGGACCCCAGCCTCTTCACCACAGTCATCTCCTCAGGAACCCCGGTTTCCCCACCACAGCACCCCCTGAGGTAATCCAGCCTTCCCGCCACGGCCCCCCCTGAGGTAACCCAGCCTCCCCCCTCAGGGACCCCTCGCGCCTCACCACAGCGGCGGTGGTGATGACGCAGGCGGTGGTGTAAGCGCGCGTCACGGCCGGCATGCCCAGGTACTCCTGCGCGAAGCCCTGGTAGGCCATGGTGCACGACCACCGCGTCTAGCCGCGCCGCGGCCCCTTTAACACACACCCCCCAGCGCGCCGCCGCGGCCACGCCCCCGAGGACCGCGCCCGGCCAATCCCGACGCGACAGGCGGCGCGAGCCGGCCAATGGGCGCGCGCCTCATGCCCTCGGCCTCCACCGGCCGCCAACCCGGGCTGGACCCGCCGCAGCAGGTGACGGGCCGGGAGGGGGCGAGCCCCTGGGGCACCGCCCATCGGAGGCGGGACGAGTCCCTGCAGCCAATGGCATCGGGCAGTCCCGTTGAGTGACAGCTGGGAGGGGCCAATAGGCGGGGCGGGTCTGACGGGGATGGGGCGGAAGGGTGATGGCGGCGGTGGCTGCTGAGGGGAGAGCGGGCGGCCTGGCCCCGCTCCCCGCCTGCCTGTGGCGGGTGGGACACAGCGCGCTCCGAGGGGCGCTCTAACCAAGGCCTGCGTAACCCTGACCGCCCGCCGTGACGGCGCTCTCCGGGGCCGCCCGCCCTGGTTACTGCCAGCCAGGTTTCGGGGCGGGGAGCAGGCCCGGGCCTGGGTTCCCGCAGGAGGAGGCTGACCCGGCCTCAGGGCCCTTTAGAGCCACCGGCGAGGAAGGGAGCGTGTGTTTTCCGCCGCCTGGGATGAAGAACAGAGCCCGGCCGGAGGATGAGCGTGTTGTGCCGAGGCGGGGTGGCGTACCCGGTGTGCAAGGCGCCAGTGTGCACGCAGAGTGGAGGTATTTATTTCCATCGTTTCTGCAGAGGTGGGCGCTGGGGGGTAACCCACAGAGCTGGCACCCCGGCCTACAGCCTCCTCCCGATATTTATACAGTTCAAAACACAGAAATACACACCCTTAATTGTAATTATTGGTTAGCACCTTACCTTACCAATTTCTGTTGGTTAGTACAGCCTCTTGCTTTCATTTAGTGTCCTTTAATTGGTGTGCGCATGCTCCAGTAGGGGAGGGGGGGTAGGTCTGGTCACTCTAATTGAGTTGGTGACCTTGATCTCCCGCTGCTGCCTTTACCTTTTCCCCTGTTACTGCAAATCTTTGTTAAATTTATGTTCCATCCAGCAGCCATCCAATTTCCAGCTGGTTTCGGCGCCTTCTGCGGAGGGATGTTCCCTAGTTAGCAGCTTTCTGTTCTTTGAGGGTATATTAATTAGCAAGACATTTATTGTTTATACGAAGTGTCCAGTTTCACAAGGCTGTGTAACCTTTTGACAGCTCTTTGCTCTTGCTTAGTGAGAGATTCTATATTCTGAAACACATTCTGCCTTTCAAGAGTATGTTCTGCCTTTTAACATACGTCAAGGGGATGGGGGGTTAAAGCAAGGTGTCTGGGGAGAAGCTGGGGTGCTGGGATAGATGTGAGGGCTCTGGCAGGTGAGAAGAGCTGAGCTTACAAGGGAAGGGACGGTTCCTCCTGAGTGCCAGGGGCTCTGAGAAGGGCTGCCCATCTTTATGTGGCTGTTTTAGCCCAAATGCCCCACAGAGATCGCAGCCCTGGCAGAAAGGGCAACTGAGTTGAAGAACTCTGAGTCAATGAATAACAAATAAAAGAAATTAATAAATATCCCGCTGCTTTGGATGGAGGGATTAGAGGTTTCCTATCTGCTCTCACTGCCTGTGGACAATGCCAGCCAGAAGCTGAATTCAAGCTCTGTGATTCCTGCCCCTTCCTTGTTTGAACTGAGGCTGGAGATGAACATTGGGAGCCTCTCTGCTGGAAGGTCATCGTCCTGGAGCTGGGGTCCCCTGTCTCCACAGAGATGAGAATCTGCATGATCTATCCCACTTACTTCCTGTGGAGGATTGTGTACAAATCATGCGTTGCGAGAAATCTAAAAAAAAGTCATCAGTTTCTCATTTTTCTTCTTTTCCCTTGTTTGCCAGCCAAACCCAGAGAACTCTAGTTGTCCCAGCTTCTATTTAAGGTTTTATTTTCTAAGATTCTTGGGGGCGAAGAAGGAGAAGTGGTGAGATGGATGGGGAAGCTCACCCTCTCGCACTGGAAGAGGCCAAACAAATCTCAGTGACACCACCAGTTCCCAGGCTGCTTTCTGCCCATGACCTCACTCCCTTCAGCTCAGCCAAGCTGACTTCATGCACAGCAGTACGCCCAGGGGCAGCTTTAGTCTTTATTGCAATCCGTGTCACATTTTATGGGTTTGGGGAATTACGTCCTTCCACAAGTTCGCATCAGCCTGGCCGCGGAGCTGAGTTCCCATTTTATACCTTTGTAGCGGTGCCGACATGCCGCCTTCTAGCAAATCATGGAATCTAACTAAAAGCCAAAAAAAAAAAGCAAACCCAAACTCTTTGTCTCAGCTGCAAGAAGGCATGAGGGCCTGCCCGAACAGAACCACTACTCCGGAGTTTCTTTGCTGATTTCCTCCTGCCTCATCCTGTTGTCCTTTCCCTGCCCAGGGACCCAGAGCAGATGGAAGCAGAGGTCTGAGCAGCGGTGACGTACCAGGGCTGCTTGCTGTCTTCTGGGTTCCTCTTCCTTTTGGGAGCAGTTGAATTCATGTCAATGTGCAGCATCAGTTTCAAAACCCAAGGCAGCAGAAACTCAGAGTTTCCATAAAAATATGTCTCATGCCCAGACTTCAGCCTGTTTTGGATGGACTTTGGAAAAGGTCTTTGTCTGGGGCTCCTGGAGCTGCCCGAGGAACAGATTGGAAGAATTCCCATCTGTTACCTGTGCTCAGGTCACTCACAGAAGTGAAACACGATGGTGCCAGAGGCAGCTCTCTTTTCCAGACAGTATTTACCCCTTCTGCATCTGCAGGCTTAGTGGTAGTAACCTGTTGTGCTGTAAACGTTTACAGTCCACAAACCCACTCACAAGAAAATATTGCAGGAAAGAAGAACTAGTGTGTCTTGCACACTCACCGCTGTGAGTTCATCTGGCCTTTGATTTAAAAAGATACATATTTCCTGAAAGGGAATGGTTTTGCACATACACAGTGACCGAGCACTACTGGACCCTCCTGTTACCTCTGTTCTTGTTTTCCCTATTTCTGAGGTGATTTTAAGGAACACACAAGCATTTTCCTGGGGTTGCAGGTAAGCTTAACCCCGCAACAGAAACTCCACAGCTTCCTGTCTCAGTTTCTGCAAACCAAAATAGCAACGAGTTTGGAAACAAAGAAGAAAGCTATTAAATCCCCCCATGAGTTAAGCAGCACATAAACCTCAAGAAGGCACATGAGCAAAGATAAATGGGCTGTTGCAGTGTTCATCTCTTTTGTTTGTAGTAAATTATTGTGTGTGTAATTCATGTTTCCTGTCCATAAATGCCAGAGGAACTTGAAGACATGGAATCCATTCTAATTTAGTAAAGACAAAAACAATTCCTTTTGAGCCCATCTGGAACTTGTTTTTATCATAATTGTTTTGGGCTCGGTAATGAGTTCAAGATCTAACTGCCCTTGATAATTGTTTCAAGAATAAACAGATGCTTTGTTGGAAGGCGGCAGCCCCCGGTTCGCCCAGCGCAGCGCTCGCCGGGGTGGCGGGATGAAAGGAGCCGTGTGCCGTGTCAGCACCGGCCATAACGAGCCGTGGTGCCCTGGAGAGGGGTGCTCAGCCCCTCTGGAAGCTGATGGGGCAGGGGACCAGCCCCCAGCCACCCACTTGGTGAGTGTCCAGCCGCTGACGTGTCCTCTGCTCTTTAACGCCACTGGCATTTTGTTTGTAAATTCATCTGATGCCCTTTTGCGACGTGCCCTGCTGTGACAAGTCATACCTGGCCTGGTGACATCTAGATACCTCCTCCAGCGGGGCTACAGGGCACACAGTGGAGAGAGCTCATTCCCTGGCCACCCCTTGCCTGCAGTAATGCTCCATCCTCCAGCACAGCCCCAGTTCTTTTCTTTGAAATCATAGATACCCCCAACCACCCACTCCCAGAGCCTCCCCCACCAGGGTACGAGACACTGCAAGTTCTGTTCAAGGTCTCATCCACCCCAGTGCTCCCCAGGACACGCTACACCTGAGATCCCTCATAGCCCTGGTGTAAAAGAGGCTGCTGCCTGACTGATGGACTGGCACTGGGGACAGGTTCAGAGAGAGCAGCACTGAGCTCCCCTGCAAGGAGGCCAGCAGGACCTTCCTGGAAGGTTATTTCAGCTCTGGGACTCTGCCCTCGGTGGATGGGCAGCAGGTGCCCAGATCCACCACAGAGCAGTTGTGGAGAGTTTCTGCTCCAGTTTTGGAAAGAAGGCTCCGTGAACCCGCTGTGCAAAGATAAGCTGTGTAATCATAACTGCCCCAGGAACTCCAAATGTTTACTTTTTTATGTTTAATGGCCATATAAAAATTCTTTCTCCTTCATTGAAGGATTTCCTGTCCCAAATCAGCTAACTCTACAGTGTGATGGCTAAAGTCAGGAGAAAGTGAATCATACAGAATTGGATGGGGGGTTTATTTGTTTGTTTGTTAGGAAGAAACTAAAGATAGCACTTAGAGCGCAGCCCTCCAAGGACATGTGGTTTGCACAGGGTTTGCTGTAAATCAAAGTTTATATTATTTTTATTTCCTATGTTTTTTACTTCAAATTGTAGCTTTGCATCTGGCATATCGTGAGAAAGACGATCTCACCTAACCCTCTGTGAGCAAAGCCTGATCATATATCCAAATAAAGCACCTCTGCCAAAACAGCTTCTGATCATGAGTTGAAGACATCAAGCAACAAAACATCTGTCTCTTTGCAGAGTTATTTTTTGCCAGTGCTTAATCATTCTTGTTAAATTCTTCTGCCTTGTGATCTGTCCTCTACACCACAGGTCACCTCCCACAGCTGTCAGCGGGGAATATCCTTCAAGGGCCTTTATTTTGTAACATCCATTTCATAAGTGCTGTGGCCAAATCAACAAGAGAACTGAAAAACAATGCTTGTTTGTTATACAAAGTGGTCTATGTTCAGCCCACGGTAGCAGCACATAGGTCTGAGCACGCCGTCAGGTGTTGAAGACCCCTACAAGGAGTCAGAAATGGTATTTGTCCTTTGATTTTCCCCAGTCAGGTCTGTGTGTCCTAGTCCAGGTGCCTCTCAGTGAGCCCGGGGACAGCTCTAATGAACTTCTCTACTTGAAGTGAGTGTTAAATGAGAGCTCAGGCTGGGTCTGACACTCGGACACTGTTGCACATATTTTCCTGTCCTTTAATGGGAACGTTCAGCGACATTAACTGCCATTTGGCAGAGTCTGAACACTCTTCTCCTGCACACAGGGACAGAGATTTTGTTGAGCTGAGCAGTTTCTTCTCTCTGGCCTTCAGGTCACCCAGCTTCAGCTAACGTCTGCATCAGGATCTGAGACAAAGAAGGGAGGAAAGGCAGTAATTCAGCTGCAGCATGGCCTACAGCTCACGATGGACCGAGAAAAGGGTGTTTCAGTTATTTGTATTATTTTGGGCTTTCTCAGTTTTCCCAGAGAGGCTTATCAGGAGGATGGAAATGCAGAGTGCTGATCCAACAGCAGCCAGTTCCCTTGGCTGCATCAGCCCCCGTGTCCTCAGAGGACTTGGCTCCCCTGTATCTCCACTGGGCAGCATCCCAGTGCCTCTGGGTGGTGGCAGAAGCTCTGTCAGCACTGGGTCCCTTCCCTGAGAAACCTCGCAATGAAGCCCATTTCCTGAAGTTCTTGCACAGTGTCTTGAACTTACATAAACTGTGGGGTTTTTCTAAGCAACATTAGTGAACTGAGAATAGCGGTGTCACAGCAGGGCACTCATTTCCTCCACAGAAAATCCATTTTAACAGCTAAGTTCCATAAACATTGCATTCCCATAAAAACAGCAGTCCTGCTGGATGTTTATTGAGAAAGCTGCTTGTTTGTAGATGATGTTGTTTGTCTTCTGTGCTCCGAGCAAGTCCTGAAAGAGTCAGGGCAAGCAGACAGAGGTATTTCATATTTCACTGTGACGGTTCTTACAGGAAAGAGAGAAGGGTTTACAGAAATAGCCAGGCTGGAGCTTGGGAGAGAGCCAGCAACCAGCAGCTCCAGATCTCTTCTGCAATCTACAGTTTGAATTCAGCCTGTGGATCCAAGCTTCCCAGAGGGAAATGAGGCCCCTTTTCTCCTCCTGAAGTGTAATTGCACTTGGTCCAGATGATCTCGGGGTGAAGCACTCTAAAATACAGGGACAGCTCAGTGCATGGCAGATCAAAGAGCATGTGTTGATGGTCTTTCCTAATGGCAGGATCACTGCTGATTCCGGCAGGCAGATAATTACAGGCAGAGACTGCCATCACATTCTTCAAAAAACTTGTCTTCCATGCTTGTGCATCATATTTCACCTTGATTATGGCAGGTTTGAGGTCAATTAATAAGTATTTGAGGGAAAGAGGGTGGTGGATCCCCTCATGGGTTGACATAAAGATAGTTTAACAGAATAGTAATGGAAGAGAAAGTAAATTAATGGTAAAGTGATGCAATGCAATTGCTCAGCACCCAACAATTGATTGCCCAGCACATCCCGAGCAGTGATCCCAGATCCCAGCCAGCCCCCATTTATACAGACTGTGTCCCTGTATGGAATGTCCTTTTGGCCAGCTTCTTCCATCTCACAGACCTGCACTGGGCACTCCCTGCTTATAAGATGCAGGAAAGAGGAGGTGGCTCTTGCCTAGAACAGAATATGTGCTTTTCTTCCTGGAAGAGATCTACCCAAACCTGGTCTCATCCAGAGCAGGCAGCAGGAAGAAACTAGAGCTCTCCTTTTTGAATGTGTTACTGCTCTTGAAACATGCTGCCTAAACTATACATCACTTACTCTGAACGTGTACAGATACATAGAGTTAACCTCCATTTCCCCAGAGAACACGTTATGGTTTGGGAAGCTGTTAGAAGCAGTCCTCTGGCCCCGCCACATGCCAGAGGCATGTTTGATGCAGAGCCTAATAAAGGAAATTTTGAACTTCTCCTGCCACTTAGTGGCAGCAGCTGATGCAGCACCACATCCCTACTCAGCATTTCTAAGAGAACACTTCTGTGATGCAGAACAGGTCTATATTTCTGTTCAGGTGTAGTGAAAGTTGAGTAGCGACAATGGATTTTTTTTAAAAAAGTTTCACTTATTTTGAATACTTTGTAATCTGTCAGGCCACTCACAAATGGCACTGTGGGATGAAAGGATGTTAAAATACCGTGATTACTCCTAAAGGCATTTTGTGAAACAGCAGCTTTGCTATTGTTGCTGGCAGCACAATGTGCCTCCATCTCTGCTGGGCCCCATCTCTGGGATTTGTAAGAGCACACCAGGGAGCTCCTTTTTATTTTACAGGAAGCAGCAAGGCTGTCACTGCTGCAGCATACAGGGGAAAGGGAACCATTTCTGGAACAATAAGCACCTACCACTGGAGCCAAACCCATTACACAAGGCCTGTCAGCCACTCTGACCCAATTAAATGATGTGTAGTTAAGAAGGGAATAGTGTAAAACACACTACTGAAAGATAAGCCAAAAGACAAAGATGAAAAGTCACTGGAAAAGCCACTATTACTGTGAGATGAAACCTTTTCGACTCATTAGAATTTAGCTGGAGTCTCTTGGGGATAGAGGAGGGGCTTCTAATGCATAGAGTTATTTAATTTTTAACTAAGATATTAAAAAATAACTGATTTTTAATTTTTTACTCCCAGGGTGTGACCTAAATCCATCATACGAAGGCGTCTCCACCATGCCTCTGTGACCAGCTATGGGGAAGGTCAGTCAATTCCTTGATCAATATCCCCCAAGCACAAAACCAGTTACAGTTCTTGGTTTAATCTGCCCCTGTTGGGCTCAGAAGGGCTCTTCTCTCTGCCCCTGAGGCTGTGGGGAGAACAAGGCTTAAAGAACAGCAGGATAATGGTGTGCGAGGGGGTGTGACAGCTCAAAATGAGCTGAGAACGTTTTGATCAGATACTTGTTCTTCCCCCAGCAGCCTCCTCTCCACACCTCAGCACCGGGTTTGCCTCCAACACTACATATTGTGTAGATGTGTTACATATTGTGTGATGTGCACTTTAATATCATAGAATCATGGAATAGTTTGGGTTGGAAGAGGCCTTAAAAATAATCTAGTTCCAACCATAATATATAATTTAATACAGATTATATATTATATTATATATATATATTAGAAGCAAAAAAAGTCACAGGGCATCTGTAAAAGCAAAGCCCTCTGCCTCCTGTGAAGTGAAAGTCAGAGATGGTTGTTCGGTGACAAAATCAAGTGCTGTGAGTGCTGCTGTTTGCTCTCTGCCAGCCTCTGGAGAGGGAGAGGGACTGCAGGCTCCTGCACATCGGTCCCCTGTCAGCCACAGCCCGATTGTTGCCCGTGTGTCCCCAGCAGCAGAGTACAGTCCCCTCTCCATGCTCTGGGTGTCACCAGGCCACGGGCAGGAGTACAGCGAAAGGGCTTGGCGTAATGAGGGATTTGAAAGGTTTGGGTTTCACCCGTTCCTGTCACTGGCAGGACCAAGGAAAATAGCCTGGTGTGTCTTTCAGATCCCAGATTGGGTTCCAGGACAAATACAGCCAGACAAAAAGCTGTAGTTTACTCCTGCTTTGCTCACGCTTAATCAGACAAGCGCTACTTGTGCCAGATGCTTGGAGAGGGAATTCATGCCCTAAGCCACACCGGCCTTCCAGAGGATTTAGACAGCTCTGGGTCTCGCAGAATCATTTCCCCAAACTGTCCTGTACTTTCAACAAAATTAATTGAACTGTCTTGCTAATGAACGTACAGCCCTGTTTGGAGAATGTAAATCAGCTGGCAAAACACCTGCCAAGTCAAGTGTCTTATCCTAATGTAATGGGTGACTAAATACACATTCCTATGCTGGAGATTTAAATAATCCTTTAGAGCACTGCTGAGAGTACCAGAGGCTTTGGCAGACAGAGGAAAACCTACCAAAGAGGATGAACAAGCTGCAGAGACTGGTAAAAAACGTCTATTTTACTATTATTGTTGACAGATCAGTTTTTTAATTTTAATTTTTAGAAGGCTAAGTACTATCAGATTCTTGTAGAATTCTTTGTCCAACTCATCACAGTCTTGGGATAAAACTGACAGAGTGGTGGCTCTCCTGGCAGCTGTGTGCCACCACGGTGCCTGGGGCAATAGCGCGGAGACCGGGTGCTACAGAAGGTTTGGGAAAGTCACCCCGTAACTGCAGCTCAGCTCTGAGCACAGGACTGTCTGGTGGCTCCTGGAGGGAGGAGCAAACTGTTCTCCTGTAGCCCATGGCCACTGAAGGGCTCCGTCATACAGGACCTGGTAGGGGATGGGCTCTGTCATGAAAGTGAGGAAACGAGCAGGGGTGGTACATCCCTAGGCTTTGGGGTTAAAAAGCAAGAAATGTGCTATTGTAGGGAGAGGAAAACTCTGTCACTTGGAGAACTGGAATAACTGGGAAGAGCAGAGATCTCAGGTGTGCAGTCCTTAGCTCAGGTCTTGGTAATGGGACAGGAAAGTGGTGGAGCCAGGGGAAGTGCCAGCAAGTCAGACACTTCTACCTGGGACAGGAGAGAGCTCAGCCTCCTCGTGCTGCAGGGGCTGCAACCCTCTGGCTTCAGTTCTGTCCTGGGAGAAGGTCCTGTCTTTGGCTGGTGTGGAAGTTATTTACACGAAAAGGCTTTGAGGAAAGGAAAAATACAAGATTATTTGAATTAGTGATTTTGGAGCAAAACTTTCCTTTTCTTTGGTAGGTGGCTCTGTAAGAAGAAAACAAGCAGGTAGAGCAGAGAGAGCTCCCCAGCACTGGTTTATCTAAGTTCTTCTCGGGGTCAGTGGGGTCATACTCATGTGGCAAAACACAAACAAGCCTGAAGTGCCCTGCACTTACTGGTGAAGAGCCAAGCCTGAGCGTGGCTCCCAGTGGGAGGGGTTTGCAAGCAGGGGGCTGGCAAAGGCCATCCTGGCCCTGGGCCACCCAGAACATTGTGCAGAAGGTGACAGGCTAAAGGCCAGGGGCCCCCAGCAAGCTCAGAGTGGTCTTGAGACATGGGACAGTGCTCCCAGTCCAAGGACACCATCAGGGCACAGTTTGCCAGGCACAGGATCTCTTGTACAGGTGGAGAAACTAAAGGCACAAAATAGGTGTGAACTGAGAAGGACAAGGATGGGGGGTGACACAGAGAGAGCAGCCAAGGGGGTGTGTGGTGTCAAGGCGGAAGGGATGGGCACTGGTGGTGAGGTGATCATGGAGATGTGATGCTACTCACACTCAGCTCTGCTGCTCTGCAGGAGCTGTAGGTCAATTTGAAGGCAGAGGCACACAGGAAAGTGTCCAGGCAGTAGTGGTCTGAGGCTTCCACACGTGGCAGAGGAGGAAACGTCAACAAAACCATTTGGAGAGTTTCTGCACAGTGTCCCTGGCTCTCCACAGCCAGCCCCAGTGCTGTCCTGATGCAGGACACACATTTATACTGTGACGTTCAGGATCCTGCTGCAAGGGGGAAAAAAGGCACATGGGTTTTGCTGGCAAGCCTGGCTCTCAGCTCCATCCCATGTCAGCCAGGACAGCCTGTTCTACACCCTTCAGAAACACAAGAGACCCCGCTTTTAGACCAACACTCTCATCCTGGGATGTGTGTGGAGCAGCCCCGCTCCCTGCCCCTGCTTCTGAAGGCACAGCAGCCACGTGAGATGGCAGTGCTGATGGTGAAATAACCTCCAGGAGACCAGAAGATGGCAGAGAACCCACTCTCTGCCACATACTTCAGCTGTATTACCATACTGGAGAGGTAGAAGATATTCTGGCTGAATAGGCAATTGTAGACAGCTCAACATGAGCCCATGTGAGAACAACTGCCTGATGAGACAGTTCAGCAGAGACATTGTCTGCTCTGTACAACATGTGAAGCAGCATAGGAAAGACACTCTATTTTAAATTAAAATCTGTGTCATTACCATGAAAAGGCAGGAGAAATAGCGTGCCATGGATCAGAAATGCACTGGAGATAAATGGCCAAATCCCCTGTACCATGGGGAAGCTCCGTCCCGTAGAGCTCAGCTAGAAATGAGGCAGAAATGAAACTTTGGCAACACTCCTTGAATAATTCATCACGTGAGTACAGGTTTTTGTAATGAATTGAATTAATGGAAGCTATAACACCAGCCTCTACCAGTATTTACTGGTTTTGCACTGACTTCTGGCAAGCATACACATTAAATATTAAACCAAAGACATTTGTGGGCCTTTGGACAAAGGAGTCCCAAATTCTTTGTGAATGGCAATGAATTAATACTATTCTGCAGTAGAGGGAGACAGTTTAAAAATCTGGGAGTGGGAGGAGGGGAGGGGGGGGTTGTCTGTCTTTGGCACCTCCCATTTTATGACAACACTCGTAGCCTGTTCTGATCTTCACTTCACCCCACTCAAAGTGGGAATGGAGCAAATGTCTGTTGAGCCATTTTATTCCATGCGAGGAAGCCATGTGTTTTCTCTCCATCTTTTCCAGCTCCAGAGCAAGGTCCTGATCCTGACAATATGTGCTGCTGGGATTGGAGGCACTTTCCAGTACGGCTACAACATCTCCATCATCAATGCTCCCACCGCGGTGAGTGCTGCGGTCCTGCTGTGGACAGGGGTCTGCTGCTGGGGGCAGAGCTGGGGGCTGGAAGGGAGGGATGTGTTGGTCCCTCTGGATAATTCACACCTGAAGTTTGGGACTTTGTTGCCAAGAGCCACACTTGAGCAGCACCTAGTGTCACAAGAATTTATTCAAAAGCCTTGTTTCAACTGCTTTAGCGAATCGAATTCTAAAATTTTCCAACCTGCATCCTTTGATATTGGCTTTTGCCCTTAAATTCAAACTTGGACCCATGAAATACATGTTTAAGTTACCCAAGATAGCTACATATAGAGACAAACCAAGTACAGCTTTTCAACAGCTACAGTTTTACACTCTCAACCCTCTGTTAAAAACACATCTAAGAACTGGAGGCCTTTTTCAACCAAGGGTTTGGAGGCATGAACACAGAATAACCAGATAGATTAATAAGAAAAGCTTCCTGTTTCTCAGTGTCCTTCATCTCCAAGTCATGGTTATGAACCACTCTCCTTCCCTCCCAGTACATCCAGACCTTCATGAACCAGACCTGGCTGGAGCGCACGGGCGTCCCCCTGGAGAGCGACGTGCTGCTGCTGCTGTGGTCGCTCACCGTCTCTGCCTACCCGCTGGGAGGGCTCGCCGGGGCGCTGGCCGCTGGCCCCATGGCCATCGTGGTGGGCAGGTAAGAGGCCACTGCATTGCCATTTCAAGCTTTGCAGCTTCCATGAGTCCAGGGGGAATTATGAGCCCTACAGCACAACACCCACTGTAGTTAAAAGTCATGAGAACATGTTTTTTATCACAGATCAGCCTGATATTAACATTTTGAGCTGAGAAACTTGCAGATATGGCAGTATTTTGCATCTCAAAACCCAACAGGGAACAGCTCTTTTCCCATCTTACCTTCTCCTCGTATTCTGACCCAGCGGAAGAGCTACAAGGATTTCAGCTCAACTCCAGATCAAAGTAACCCCCTGCATAATCACCACCAGTTTTGTGCCCAGTTTTCTGCCATCCTTTGAAACAGGAAATCATGATGGAACAGACCAAGGATTTTTCTTCAAAATTAACTGTGGGAATTGATGGGAATGACACTGAAAAAACAGAGGGTGACCGCAAAGAGCGGTTGTTGCATCCCAGGTTGTCACATCCCACAGGCTGTGTATCCGAATCCACCTTTTTGACTGAAATATTTCAGGAGGTAGAAGCTAAATCTTCACAGTTGCTTTTTTCCCTGTGCTTGAGTCTCTGAAAAATGTCTGTCTCTCCTCACCTCTTTCATACACAGCTCTACCCCCAGGTCTCTTCAGAAGAAAACCAGCGTTACTGACACAGCCTAATAGGAAATTAGATTTTGCCTCCCTCTCTCTCGACCCCAAAGTTTTCCTCGCTGTGGTGTCACTGGTTTGTTCCTGTTTTCTATCACAGATCAACCTGCCATTAAAATTTTGAGCTGAGAAACTTGCAGATAGGGCAGTATTTTGCATCTCAAAACCCAACAGGGAACAGCTCTTTTCCCATCTTACCTTCTCCTCGTATTCTGACCCAGCTGAAGAGCTACAAGGATTTCAGCTCAGCCCCAGATCACAGTAACCCCCGGCATAATCACCACCAGTTTTGTGCCCAGTTTTCTGCCATCCTTTGAAACAGGAAATCATGATGGAACAGACCAAGGATTTTTCTTCAAAATTAACTGTGGGAATTGATGGGAATGACACTGAAAAAACAGAGGGTGCTCGCAAAGAGCAGTTGTTGCATCCCAGGTTGTCACATCCCACAGGCTGTGTATCCGAATCCACCTTTTTGACTGAAATATTTCAGGAGGTAGAAGCTAAATCTTCACAGTTGCTTTTTTCCCTGTGCTCGAGTCTCTGAAAAATGTCTGTCTCTCCTCACCTCTTTCATACACAGCTCTACCCCCAGGTCTCTTCAGAAGAAAACCAGTGTTACTGACACAGACTAATAGGAAATTAGATTTCGCCTTCCTCTCTCTCGACCCCAAAGTTTTCCTCGCTTGAAGAGCTACAAGGATTTCAGCTCAGCCCCAGATCACAGTAACCCCCGGCATAATCACCACCAGTTTTGTGCCCAGTTTTCTGCCATCCTTTGAAACAGGAAATCGTGATGGAACAGACCAAGGATTTTTCTTCAAAATTAACTGTGGGAATTGATGGGAATGACACTGAAAAAACAGAGGGTGCTCGCAAAGAGCAGTTGTTGCATCCCAGGTTGTCACATCCCACAGGCTGTGTATCCGAATCCACCTTTTTGACTGAAATATTTCAGGAGGTAGAAGCTAAATCTTCACAGTTGCTTTTTTCCCTGTGCTTGAGTCTCTGAAAAATGTCTGTCTCTCCTCACCTCTTTCATACACAGCTCTACCCCCAGGTCTCTTCAGAAGAAAACCAGTGTTACTGACACAGACTAATAGGAAATTAGATTTCGCCTTCCTCTCTCTCGACCCCAAAGTTTTCCTCGCTGTGGTGTCACTGGTTTGTTCCTCTCTGATGAAGCAGCACCACTGTGGTTTGGGCTGGGGCTGGGACACCATCTCCCACGGCCCAGGTGTTTCATGGCTGTGAAGATCTGGAAAGGACAGGGCTTCCTTATCCGGTTAAAAGTTTAGAGCTTTCCCCTTGGACTGCTTTAGAATAAAACCCTATCCCATCATGAATAAGAGAAAAAAAGACTGGCTGCTGAAGGGTGGGTAGGGCAGAGGGCTGGGACTACAGAGAATTACTGGTCTCTTTTTTTTTTTCCTGGTTTTGCACAGAAATTCCTCCTGGGACACATGAAAACTTTCTCACAAAAGTTTCATAAGGATCGTACTATTAGATGAAAAATACCTGTTTCAAAAAAGGAGCATTTTTCAGAGGCAAACTCCCAGGTGTGGCAGGTTGGATCCACCAGGTGAAATGTGTTACCTGGATGAACCTGACACACACGTGCTCACAGCTGTCTCTCTTCTCCCTGCAGGAAGATGTCCCTGCTGCTGAACAACCTCTTTGTGATCACGGCCGCGCTGCTGTCGGGGTTCAGCCGGATGGCAAGGTCCTTTGAGATGATTATGCTCAGCAGGTTTTTCACCGGCGTGAACGCAGGTACGGCGGGGCCAGAAACACAATGGGGCAAATGTGGTAACAACCAGCAATTAGAAACAGGAGATATTTAAGTAGGAACGATCTGAGACATTAAAGTAATTAGTCCTCTGGTCTGACCACACACATGTACATGAATGAGGAAGTTGTATGTACAGATTGTATATTTCGTTTCTAAGACTTTTTTTAAAAGCATAATTGGGCAGATTTGTTTGTGTAATGTATGTGAGAGTGTCTGTGTGCTCTCTGCACACAGGGAGGACAGCCCTGGGAGAAATTGAGCTGAAAATTGAGCCCTTTCTGCTTGTAAGAAGGTTATCAGTCATTCACCAGCACAAGCACCAACGTTAAAGCTTTTATAAAAGCTCATCCAAAGGAATAATGATTGATACAAGTGACTTAAAATAACATCTTCCCCCCAAAACAGGGGACTAGAGGGAGCATCACTTATAACCTTGGATTTGGTGCTCAGACCAAAGGAGTGAGGCCCCAGCAGGTCATTATCCACGACTACTTAGGAGTGTGGAAATGTATGTTTAGTAGCTTATACAATGACTAAGAGTGAAAGTGAAGGTTTAGGTAAATAATAAGCACTGGTAGATCAGTCATTACTCAGCCTGTGACAGGAGAGTCAGGCTGGTGATCTGGTGAGGTGGTTGACTGTGTTTGTTGTCCTCTCCTCGGCCTCCGAGCTGAGGTGGGTGTTTCTCTGCCTTGCCCAGGTGTCAGCATGAACATTCAGCCCATGTACTTGGCAGAAAGTGCCCCAAAGAAGCTCAGGGGGGCCGTGGCCTTGACCTCGGCGTCGTTTACAGCCCTGGGGCTGGTGCTGGGGCAGGTTGTTGGACTCAGGTAATGTAGAGCAAGAAGCCCAGATTATGCTTATTAAATCTTTCTCTTTTTCTTTTTGTTTCTTTCCTACCCCTCTCTCCTCTTTCCTTTCTGGTGCCCACAGGTGGCAGAGGACGCTGGGCTCTTGCCATGTTGTAAAATGTACTGAGCAAAGTATGTTTTGGGTTTTTTCCTCCAGGGAGCTGCTAGGAGGGGAGGAGAGCTGGCCCTTCCTCTTAGCTAGCAATGCTGTGCCTGCCCTCATCCAGCTCACGGCTTTGCCTTGGCTCCCTGAAAGTCCCAGATACCTCTTGATCGACCGTGGAGATAAAGAATCCTGCATCTCTGGTGAGTTGAGGGTGACTCAGCCTCTCGCTGAGCACCTGAGACCTACTGACTGGGCAGCTAAACACTGAGAAGATTGGATATTCTTAAATACAGCCCAGGGTGTTTGCTGCAAAGCAGCCTTCAGACTTCTTTCCAACACAACTACCCTGTCTGGTGACTGGCAGCCTCCTGAGCAGAAAAGCTTTAAGCCCAATACCGTGGCTATGTCACTGATCCCAAGGATAATGTTTTCTAAACCAGAGGACCATGTTTGGTCTGTACAAACTGTGTTTGTAATTGCATGAGCTGCTGCAGCACTAATCAGTGCCCAGGCAGTGGCTGGGTGTGTGTTTGTGTGAACAACCACAGCAGTTCTGGACACGGAGGAATCTACACTTTGGTGCATCCTGCCCTTGTGCACAGGCTGGGCACGACTTCCTGCCTGTAGGAAGTGTCAGATCAGGTTCCAAAGATGAACACTTCCTCTTTCCAGACTAAAGATCACTCTATAACCTTAAATAATTTGATCTATTGGGATAATTGAAAGACATCTTCCTGCAGAAGGCTGCTGCAATGGCAGGGTCGGAAGATGGGACTTTTGTTCACAGTGACAAGTATGTTTTGTAACTGTGAAGTGAAACCAATTGTGGTTGAAGAGCTCATGACCAAATCTGCAGCCAGTTCATATTAAGGGATTTGCTTAGATTTGTAGCATATAAATCCCCGTATCCAGCGCGGCTGGAATTAGGTTCTGGGAAACATGTACTGGGTACCCAGAATATCTGAATTGCCTGCCTTTCCCAGGAAGTCACCCAAGGTCTGTGTCAGAAGCGCGGCTGCTGAAAGGGCACGGGTTGGAGATACTCTCTTGTCAAACAAGGGTGAGGGATTTGCACTCCCTTTGCCCCAAATCCTTCACAACCACAACTGGCCACCTCTGTGAAGGTGACCCCACTGTCACAGAGCCCATCCTGCAGCTTCCTGCAGCCATCAGGAAGGTTCGCCCTGCAGAGCCGGCGAAAGGCGGGCGAAGCTCAGAGGGTGAGAGTTTCCCTTGTCCTTGCAGCCCTGCAGAGGCTCCGAGGCAGCGGTGACCTCGGCGTGGAGCTGGAGGAGATGCTGGCCGAGCAGGCTGCTGCCAAGGGCCAGAGAGCCAAGAACCCTTGGGAGCTGCTCAGGAACCCGTCCCTGCGGTGGCAGGTGCTGAGCGTGGTGGTGCTGAGCAGCGCCATGCAGCTCTGCGGCAACGACTCGGTGAGCAGGGCAGCCACGGGTGCAGGGGCTGGGGTTTAACAGGAGAAGGAGGACCCGTGGTCTGCTCCACCCGTGGAGACCTTCAGGCCCCAGGTGCTCGGTTCCCAAAGCCCGGCTGTGCCTGGTGGCAGGACTCAGAGGGTGCTGTTGAAATAGCCCGTGTGCCGGCACAGTCGTCGTCCTCGGTGTGGTCCCTGAGGGGCAGCAATGGGGTGTATTCCCAGGTGTTTTCCCTCACGGCTTTCTCCTCTCTTCTCTCTCTCCCCAGATGTATTTCTATGCAGCGTATGTGTTCCGAGAGGCTGGAATCCCTCAGGCCAAAATCCCGTATGTTGTAATCGGCACGGGGAGCTGTGAGCTGATGGCGTCCGTCACCTGTGTGAGACCCGTAACGCGCTCTGTGACACGCAGCCCGGAGGCGGGAGGAGGCTCTTCCTTACACATTTTGGGGGGGCCTTTAGCACCAGGGAAGCCCCCCCCGTGCAGCAGCCGGGCCGGCCCTCAGCTCTCAGGCCCGGGGGGTTCATGCAGGAGTGTTCTGTCACACGCTGCGTCCGCAGCGCCGGCTGAAAGCACTGAAAAGCCAAACTTCTTGCTGCTGGGGGGAGTGGAACCAGTCCAGCTGCAGCTGGGACCTTCCCACCCGCCCTGAACACGCTCCCTCCCTGACTCCTGCCAGCAGAGCCCTCCCTTCGAACAAGTCCTCTTTTTTTTTGGACAAAATCCTTAAAAGTAGCTGTAGAGCGAGCGAGGCGCAGGGTGTTGACATGGGAAGAGGGAGCAGGCGGGAAGTAGAAACACAAGTTAAAGTAGAAACACAAGTTAAAGATCTTGCTCTGTCTCCCCGTGTTCCTCTGTGCAGAACATGATCATAGACTACGCCGGTCGGAGGCCGCTGCTCCTGGGGGGATACATCTTCATGGCAGGGTGGGCCGTGGTCTTCATGGTCGCTCTGAGCCAGCAGGTAACGAATCTAATTGAATTAAGGGGAATGGAGGTGGGCTTTGCCCTTGGTACCAGTGGGGTGTTTGGTGGTGGCCCATAACCCTACGTGCCCTCCCTGGTGCCCGTTGCTCTCTGTGGCTGCAGACGCAGATCAGCTGGATGCCCTACCTCAGCATGGCCTGCATCTTCGCCTACATCCTCAGCTTTGGAATCGGACCAGGTCAGTTCCCCGGGGGTTTTCACCAAAACTTTTGGGTGCCTCAGGAGCTCGGGATGTGTGCAAGGAGCTATGGGACCTCTCAGACCAAGGCAATTCCTAACACTAGAGAGTGACACCTGATCATTCACGTGCCGACACCTGGCAGCACAGTTTTCACCCTGCTCGTTACCTGCTAACGGGCATTCTCCTGGCAGAGCCCGTGAGCTGCTGTGGTTGGGGGGCAGCAGGAGGCTGTGTGTGTGCTGGGCTGTGAGCAGATGTGGGGCTCTGTTTGCTCCATGAGCTTGAAGGGAGGTGGGGAAGAGAAGAACCGAGCTGCCAGCATCACGTGCCACAGGAGCTGGCAGTGACTGTCCCTGTCCCCCCAGTGCCATAGGGCTGAATTAATAATAAGCCACTCTCACAGTTGGCTCCTAGAGAGAATAACGTGGATTTCCAAACCTTTCCCAGCAGCTCATTTTAAGGTGAGAGAGTTTGAATAATTAGCCAGTCCTTAATATTTAACCTAAAAATTCCCCGGTGCAGTAATTCTCTATTACCACTTGTTCTGGCGTTATTATCTAGCGAGAATAATCTCCTGAATACTAATTCACTGCTCTCATGTACTTCATGTTGCTTCTGCTCGTTAGTGTTATTAATACAGTGTCTCCAGCATTACTCACCTTCTGACTGCTCCTTTTCCAGCGGGTGTAACAGGAGTTCTGCCCACTGAGATTTTTGACCAGCTCTCCCGCCCGGCCGCGTACATGATCTGTGGTTCCCTGCTCTCTTCCTCTCTCTCGACCCCAAAGTTTTCCTCGCTGTGGTGTCACTGGTTTGTTCCTCTCTGATGAAGCAGCACCACTGTGGTTTGGGCTGGGGCTGGGACACCATCTCCCACGGCCCAGGTGTTTCATGGCTGTGAAGATCTGGAAAGGACAGGGCTTCCTTATCCGGTTAAAAGTTTAGAGCTTTCCCCTTGGACTGCTTTAGAATAAAACCCTATCCCATCATGAATAAGAGAAAAAAAGACTGGCTGCTGAAGGGTGGGTAGGGCAGAGGGCTGGGACTACAGAGAATTACTGGTCTCTTTTTTTTTTTCCTGGTTTTGCACAGAAATTCCTCCTGGGACACATGAAAACTTTCTCACAAAAGTTTCATAAGGATCGTACTATTAGATGAAAAATACCTGTTTCAAAAAAGGAGCATTTTTCAGAGGCAAACTCCCAGGTGTGGCAGGTTGGATCCAGCAGGTGAAATGTGTTACCTGGATGAACCTGACACACACGTGCTCACAGCTGTCTCTCTTCTCCCTGCAGGAAGATGTCCCTGCTGCTGAACAACCTCTTTGTGATCACGGCCGCGCTGCTGTCGGGGTTCAGCCGGATGGCAAGGTCCTTTGAGATGATTATGCTCAGCAGGTTTTTCACCGGCGTGAACGCAGGTACGGCGGGGCCAGAAACACAATGGGGCAAATGTGGTAACAACCAGCAATTAGAAACAGGAGATATTTAAGTAGAAATGATCTGAGACATTGAAGCAATTAGTCCTCTGGTCTGACCACACACATGTACATGAATGAGGAAGTTGTATGTACAGATTGTATATTTCGTTTCTAAGACTTTTTTTAAAAGCATAATTGGGCAGATTTGTTTGTGTAATGTATGTGAGAGTGTCTGTGTGCTCTCTGCACACAGGGAGGGCAGCCCTGGGAGAAATTGAGCTGAAAATTGAGCCCTTTCTGCTTGTAAGAAGGTTATCATTCCTTCACCAGCACAAGCACCAACGTTAAAGCTTTTATAAAAGCTCATCCAAAGGAATAATGATTGATACAAGTGACTTAAAATAGCATCTTCCCCCCAAAACGGGGGACTAGAGGGAGCATCACTTACAACCTTGGATTTGGTGCTCAGACCAAAGAAGTGAGGCCCCAGCAGGTTTCAGTGTCATTATCCACGACTGCTTAGGAGTGTGGAAATGTATGTTTAGTAGCTTATACAATGACTAAGAGTGAAAGTGAAGGTTTAGGTAAATAATAAGTGCTGGTAGATCAGTCATTACTCGGCCTGTGACAGGAGAGTCAGGCTGGTGATCTGGTGAGGTGGTTGACTGTGTTTGTTGTCCTCTCCTCGGCCTCCGAGCTGAGGTGGGTGTTTCTCTGCCTTGCCCAGGTGTCAGCATGAACATTCAGCCCATGTACCTGGCAGAAAGTGCCCCAAAGAAGCTCAGGGGGGCCGTGGCCTTGACCTCGGCGTCGTTTACAGCCCTGGGGCTGGTGCTGGGGCAGGTTGTTGGACTCAGGTAATGTAGAGCAAGAAGCCCAGATTATGCTTATTAAATCTTTCTCTTTTTCTTTTTGTTTCTTTCCTACCCCTCTCTCCTCTTTCCTTTCTGGTGCCCACAGGTGGCAGAGGACGCTGGGCTCTTGCCATGTTGTAAAATGTACTGAGCAAAGTATGTTTTGGGTTTTTTCCTCCAGGGAGCTGCTAGGAGGGGAGGAGAGCTGGCCCTTCCTCTTAGCTAGCAATGCTGTGCCTGCCCTCATCCAGCTCACGGCTCTGCCTTGGCTCCCTGAAAGTCCCAGATACCTCTTGATCGACCGTGGAGATAAAGAATCCTGCATCTCTGGTGAGTTGAGGGTGACTCAGCCTCTCGCTGAGCACCTGAGACCTACTGACTGGGCAGCTAAACACTGAGAAGATTGGATATTCTTAAATACAGCCCAGGGTGTTTGCTGCAAAGCAGCCTTCAGACTTCTTTCCAACACAACTACCCTGTCTGGTGACTGGCAGCCTCCTGAGCAGAAAAGCTTTAAGCCCAATACCGTGGCTATGTCACTGATCCCAAGGATAATGTTTTCTAAACCAGAGGACCATGTTTGGTCTGTACAAACTGTGTTTGTAATTGCATGAGCTGCTGCAGCACTAATCAGTGCCCAGGCAGTGGCTGGGTGTGTGTTTGTGTGAACAACCACAGCAGTTCTGGACACGGAGGAATCTACACTTTGGTGCATCCTGCCCTTGTGCACAGGCTGGGCACGACTTCCTGCCTGTAGGAAGTGTCAGATCAGGTTCCAAAGATGAACACTTCCTCTTTCCAGACTAAAGATCACTCTATAACCTTAAATAATTTGATCTATTGGGATAATTGAAAGACATCTTCCTGCAGAAGGCTGCTGCAATGGCAGGGTCGGAAGATGGGACTTTTGTTCACAGTGACAAGTATGTTTTGTAACTGTGAAGTGAAACCAATTGTGGTTGAAGAGCTCATGACCAAATCTGCAGCCAGTTCATATTAAGGGATTTACTTAGATTTGTAGCATATAAATCCCCGTATCCAGCGCGGCTGGAATTAGGTTCTGGGAAATATGTACTGGGTACCCAGAATATCTGAACTGCCTGCCTTTCCCAGGAAGTCACCCAAGGTCTGTGTCAGAAGCGCGGCTGCTGAAAGGGCACGGGTTGGAGATACTCTCTTGTCAAACAAGGGTGAGGGATTTGCACTCCCTTTGCCCCAAATCCTTCACAACCACAACTGGCCACCTCTGTGAAGGTGACCCCACTGTCACAGAGCCCATCCTGCAGCTTCCTGCAGCCATCAGGAAGGTTCGCCCTGCAGAGCCGGCAAAAGGCGGGTGAAGCTCAGAGGGTGAGAGTTTCCCTTGTCCTTGCAGCCCTGCAGAGGCTCCGAGGCAGCGGTGACCTCGGCGTGGAGCTGGAGGAGATGCTGGCCGAGCAGGCTGCTGCCAAGGGCCAGAGAGCCAAGAACCCTTGGGAGCTGCTCAGGAACCCGTCCCTGCGGTGGCAGGTGCTGAGCGTGGTGGTGCTGAGCAGCGCCATGCAGCTCTGCGGCAACGACTCGGTGAGCGGGGCAGCCACGGGTGCAGGGGCTGGGGTTTAACAGGAGAAGGAGGACCCGTGGTCTGCTCCACCTGTGGAGACCTTCAGGCCCCAGGTGCTTGGTTCCTAAACAATGGCTGTGCCTCGTGAGAGGCTGTCGAAGTAGCCTGTGTGGCGGCACAGTCGTCGTCCTCGGCGTGGAGACCTTCAGGCCCCAGGTGCTCGGTTCCCAAAGCCCGGCTGTGCCTGGTGGCAGGACTCAGAGGGTGCTGTTGAAATAGCCCGTGTGCCGGCACAGTCGTCGTCCTCGGTGTGGTCCCTGAGGGGCAGCAATGGGGTGTATTCCCAGGTGTTTTCCCTCACGGCTTTCTCCTCTCTTCTCTCTCTCCCCAGATGTATTTCTATGCAGCGTATGTGTTCCGAGAGGCTGGAATCCCTCAGGCCAAAATCCCGTATGTTGTAATCGGCACGGGGAGCTGTGAGCTGATGGCGTCCGTCACCTGTGTGAGACCCGTAACGCGCTCTGTGACACGCAGCCCGGAGGCGGGAGGAGGCTCTTCCTTACACATTTTGGGGGGGCCTTTAGCACCAGGGAAGCCCCCCCCGTGCAGCAGCCGGGCCGGCCCTCAGCTCTCAGGCCCGGGGGGTTCATGCAGGAGTGTTCTGTCACACGCTGCGTCCGCAGCGCCGGCTGAAAGCACTGAAAAGCCAAACTTCTTGCTGCTGGGGGGAGTGGAACCAGTCCAGCTGCAGCTGGGACCTTCCCACCCGCCCTGAACACGCTCCCTCCCTGACTCCTGCCAGCAGAGCCCTCCCTTCGAACAAGTCCTCTTTTTTTTTGGACAAAATCCTTAAAAGTAGCTGTAGAGCGAGCGAGGCGCAGGGTGTTGACATGGGAAGAGGGAGCAGGCGGGAAGTAGAAACACAAGTTAAAGTAGAAACACAAGTTAAAGATCTTGCTCTGTCTCCCCGTGTTCCTCTGTGCAGAACATGATCATAGACTACGCCGGTCGGAGGCCGCTGCTCCTGGGGGGATACATCTTCATGGCAGGGTGGGCCGTGGTCTTCATGGTCGCTCTCAGCCAGCAGGTAACGAATCTGATTGAGTTAAGGGGGATGGAGTTGGGCTTTGCCCTTGGTACCAGTGGGGTGTTTGGTGGTGGCCCATAACCCTACGTGCCCTCCCTGGTGCCCGTTGCTCTCTGTGGCTGCAGACGCAGATCAGCTGGATGCCCTACCTCAGCATGGCCTGCATCTTCGCCTACATCCTCAGCTTTGGAATCGGACCAGGTCAGTTCCCCAGGGGTTTTCACCAAAACTTTTGGGTGCCTCAGGAGCTCGGGATGTGTGCAAGGAGCTATGGGACCTCTCAGACCAAGGCAATTCCTAACACTAGAGAGTGACACCTGATCATTCACGTGCCGACACCTGGCAGCACAGTTTTCACCCTGCTCGTTACCTGCTAACGGGCATTCTCCTGGCAGAGCCCGTGAGCTGCTGTGGTTGGGGGGCAGCAGGAGGCTGTGTGTGTGCTGGGCTGTGAGCAGATGTGGGGCTCTGTTTGCTCCATGAGCTTGAAGGGAGGTGGGTAACCTGCTAACGGGCATTCTCCTGGCAGAGCCCGTGAGCTGCTGTGGTTGGGGGGCAGCAGGAGGCTGTGTGTGTGCTGGGCTGTGAGCAGATGTGGGGCTCTGTTTGCTCCATGAGCTTGAAGGGAGGTGGGGAAGAGAAGAACCGAGCTGCCAGCATCACGTGCCACAGGAGCTGGCAGTGACTGTCCCTGTCCCCCCAGTGCCATAGGGCTGAATTAATAATAAGCCACTCTCACAGTTGGCTCCTAGAGAGAATAACGTGGATTTCCAAACCTTTCCCAGCAGCTCATTTTAAGGTGAGAGAGTTTGAATAATTAGCCAGTCCTTAATATTTAACCTAAAAATTCCCCGGTGCAGTAATTCTCTATTACCACTTGTTCTGGCGTTATTATCTAGCGAGAATAATCTCCTGAATACTAATTCACTGCTCTCATGTACTTCATGTTGCTTCTGCTCGTTAGTGTTATTAATACAGTGTCTCCAGCATTACTCACCTTCTGACTGCTCCTTTTCCAGCGGGTGTAACAGGAGTTCTGCCCACTGAGATTTTTGACCAGCTCTCCCGCCCGGCCGCGTACATGATCTGTGGTTCCCTGCTCTGGTTCAACCTGTTCCTGGTCGGAACGGCCTTTCCCTTCATCGTGGTGGGTCCCCGTGGCAAAGCTGTGTCCCCGTAGCAAAGCTGTGTCCCCCAGCTCTGCCCAGTTTGTGCTGAAGGTTGGGATGGTCACTGGGGGCAGGGACAGGGCTGGGGGGTCACAGCCACAGAGAGGCAGTGGGACAGCCCTGACGTGGGAAGTGTCTTTGTGAGGAAAGTGCCCAGAATTCCCCCAAACCGAACTGCCTCCGTGTTTCCCGCGGTGATTCCCGATGTCGGGCTGGAAGCAGAGGAATTTGGGGCAGGGATGGCCGATTTTCCTCCTCTGCCCTCAGCTGGGAGCAGCTGGGCCTGGGGAGGAGATGGAATTCTCCTTGCCCAGACCCTAGAACTGTTTCCGAAGGTGATTCCTGCAGCAAAAGGGAGCAGAACTCCACAATATCCCACCCTGCTCCTTCCCTGCTGGGGCTCCCCATTCTGTGCCATCACAGAGTGAGAAAAATGGAAAAAGCCATTTTGAGATGCTCTTCTTGCTACATCAAATTTCCCAAACTGGGCTGGGGAGCAGCTGCCCCAGGTGTGTGAGCCCCCACCAGGGCCCACAGAGTTACCCCCTGGTAAAGTTGGTCCCTGCAGACACTGGGATTGGTGGCCCCTTTGTCATCAAACAGAATGACACTCATGCTCTCTTCTTTTTTTTTTTTTTTCCCTCCCCTCAGAAAAGCCTCGGGCATTTCTGCTACGTCCCGTTCCTGGTGGTCTGCGTCTGCACCGCGCTCTACATTGGGTTCTTCCTTCCCGAGACAAAGGGAAGGTCCTTCCTGGAGATCTCAGGGGAGTTCAAGAAACGGAACTTCAAGGCTGGGACCCACGTGGGGTTTTACAAAGGCCCCGAGGAGATCAAATCCACCGTGTTGTAGCAGAGGAGCAGAGTCTGGTACCTGGGGAAGGGCAGCAGCGGGGAGGCCTCCTGCAGGGAGAGGTGGGGTCAGGGACAATCTGTCACCATTAGGGGTTCACCCAGAAAAGAGGTACTCAATCTGATAAATCCCAACAAAAGTGTAATAATCTGGTTTTAGTGCAAAGTGACAGGTACATATTTTAGGATCCGTATTAGAGAGCGACCAAGCGATGCCTCGTATCATCAACCCCCACCATGAACACCTGAGCAAATCTCTGCTGAATTTCTTCTGCATTTCTCCTCCACCCAAACAGCAGCTTCCATCCCAGACACCGGCCTTTCTTTGCCCCTGAATTTGGGCTCCCTGACACAGAAATTAATACGATTAAGTTCTGTTTTCAGACACTGGCTGAAATCCTCAGTCCCTTGTCTTGGTGCTCCCGTTGTTTCTGTTATTAAGTGATTTGGAATAGACCCCTCCTTGTTGAGCAATAGCGAGCAGTTAATTATTTTCAGCTGTAAAAACATGTGACAGATGGATTAGGGAGAAAGCTGCTGGTACTTGCTAAGTGGCTTATTATGCAACTGACTTTTGGGCATTGGTTCATGAACTATTTATTCTGGACTGCTTCTCTTCACACCCTGTTTGTTGTCTGCCAGTCCCACCTCTAACGCCCGGGGGAATCCTCTGGTCCCCTGGTTCTGCTCTCGGAGGCTACAGGGGGTCCTGGGGGGTCCTGCCCCTGCGCTCTGCGGGGGGACAACGTGGGGAGGAGATCCCATGGCACCAGCTCGGTCTGGGTGTGGAGATGTGGATCCCAGCAGGACACTCTGCAGCAGGTCCTTGGGTGTCTCCAGAGAGCTCACTGGAAAGGACCCCAAGGGGCTGCTGGGGCTCTTTGGCCACCCTGGTACAGAACCGGGCACCGCTCCCAGTTACAGATCCCCTTCCCCAGGCACTGGGGCAACTGGTGACGGTTCTTCCAGTTTCTTCTCAGAAAACCACAATCAAGCCATCTCTCTTCTTTTTGCTTTGTGTGACAGTCGCAGCACTGCTGATGGGTGCACCAAAGAACACATACAGTTTCAAAATAAGCAGTTAAAGCTTCTTTCAGTGTATTTTTGGACTTTTTTTTAAATACAGCAGTTTTGAAAAACAGGACTGTAAAAATCTGTGGAGTGCGTTGGTGTCACGCTGGGCACAAACAGCAGCAGAAGAGGAGTCTGTGCAAGGACTGGCTTTCAGAGAATCACAGAATGGTTTGGGATGGAAGGGACCTTAAAGCCCCCCCAGTGCCACCCCCTGCCCTGGGCAGGGACACCTCCCACCAGCCCAGGTTGCTCCAAGCCCCCTCCAACCTGCCCTTGAACCCCTCCAGGGATGGGGCAGCCACAGCTTCTCTGGGCAACCTGGGCCAGTGTCTGTGGCCACCTCACGCTGAGCTTCTCATCACCCAACACCCCCCCAGTCCTTCCCCCAGGGCCACTCTCACCCACCCTGGGGCTGTGCCAGGGACTGCCCCGACCACGTGCAGGACCTTGGCCTTGACCCAGGTGAACTTCATTAGGTTCACACAGACCCACCTCAACCTGTCCAGGTCCCTCTGGGTCCCATCCCGTCCCTCCAGCGTGTCACCCGCCACACGGCTCAGTGTCTGTCACTACCTAAAGCTTATAAAATAGGAAAAAAAATAAAACCAAGCTTGTGTTCCTCTGTGGTTGGTGCTATTTTAGAGGTCATTCATCTGCAGCCACGGGCACGAGCAGGTGTCTCTGCAACAGCAAGATTTTGAAATATGCGGGGTTTTGAGACGGGACGATGGAGACGGTGGCTCCCTGGAGCTGGGAACTGCAGGGACACCCTGGAGAGAGCGATGAGGGATGGAGGGACAGAGTGAGCCCCACAATCAGAGAAGAATTGGTTAAAACTGGGTGAAGTTTCCCAAGGCCCAGAGGTCTCCTCACCTTGGCCAGGCCCTGGAAGGACAGAGCCCCCTCACCCCACGCTCCGAGGTGTGTCCCCTCCGTCGCGTGGCCCCGCCGAGCCCCGGGGCAGAAAACACTCCTCCAACTTCAGCATTTTATAACTGTTGCCCCAAATCGGGTGTCTTTCTTTAGACTGATTAAGCAAAGTCAAACAGTGGTTACATTTTAATTGGTCTAAATGGTTACATTTTAATTGAAGCATTTAACAAGTTGGTTAATTTTTACTGAATTAAAACACCTTCAACTGAAAATTTTTTTAAAAAAGGGTGCTTGTTCAGGTCAATTTTCTTACCCTGTGAAGTGCTGGGCACAAATCCATCGGAAAAGGGATCCCCAGGGACGCAGAGTTCATCTCAGTGTTTACAAAAAAAGTATTTAAAAAAAAAAACAGTGCTTGTTCAGGTCAATTTTCTTAACCCTGTGAAGTGCTGGGCACGAATCCATCGGAAAAGGGATCCCCAGGGACACAGAGTTCATCTCAGTGTTTACAAAAAAAGTAAAGGTATGATTTAACCTCGGCCTGGGGAGCCCAGCCCAGTCCACCCCAGTTTGCACCAGTCCCTGGAGTCTGGCTCCCATCAACTCCTCCACTGCCCCTCCCTCACCTCCTGCCCCTGGTCCAGCAGCTGCTGCTGGAGCTTCTGCCTCCCCAGGTAAAGGTATGATTTAACCTCGGCCTGGGGAGCCCAGCCCAGTCCACCCCAGTTTGCACCAGTCCCTGGAGTCTGGCTCCCATCAACTCCTCCACTGCCCCTCCCTCACCTCCTGCCCCTGGTCCAGCAGCTGCTGCTGGAGCTTCTGCCTCCCCAGGGACCCACCAGAACCACCCACTTCACCCAAATTATCTGCTGTTTCACCAGTAACGACCCAGTAACAACAAACTGTGTTTGCTGCCGCAGCCCGGGAGGGGCTTCTCTCTCGTTTCCCCCCAGGAGAGTTTTTGCAGTAGGTGTTTTTCCCTTTCTGCTGTTATAAAACGGCAACAATTAAGTACAGAAAGAAAAAAAACCCAAACAATCTGAATCCGACGTGGTTCAAATAACAGTAGGGGTTGGCAGCTGAGAGATACCAAATATCTTGGAAGTTTTTGCAGTAGGTGTTTTTCCCTTTCTGCTGTTATAAAACGGCAACAATTAAGTACAGAAAGAAAAAAAACCCAAACAATCTGAATCCGACGTGGTTCAAATAACAGTAGGGGTTGGCAGCTGAGAGATACCAAATATCTTGGAAGGAATTCTTTTTAAAAAGCAAAGAAAATGGGATTTAAGAGCATTTCTGGCCTCTCACTTCGGAAGCACCGGGTTTGCTTTTCCCTTCACGTACCCGTCCTGTCTCTCTGCCCCCATCGATCCCACTGGGGGGGGAACCTCCGCCCCTCAAAGTACTTTCAACATATATTTGTGTTTATTTTCAAGGTCCCTGATAGTGGCCTTAAAGCCTTTTCATTTCGAATACCTCCCAAAGATTTTACTTCATCTCATCACACAGAGTTCCAGGCAAATCCACACGAACAGGTGGGGAATCCCCGGCTGCGGAGACGGAGCGGTCACCGGGGGGGCTTTATTCTGGGCTGGCTCTGGCCTCAGCAGCCAACCACTGTGAAACAACTTCCAGCAAAAAAAATAATAATAGAATTGAGCTTTTACAAATATTTTAACATTTCTTCCACAACCACCTGGATGGAAAACAGGAAACACAAGTCTCTCGCAAATTGATGACTTTGAGAAGATGTTCTATAAAGCAAACTTAGTCAAATGCCACGCAATGGTTTCCTATATACACTTTTTTTTCCTTTATATCCCTTTAAACTGGTATTTAAAATCCCCTTTAATTCTTAAAAATACTTTTATAAAAATAAAATACTTTGTTAGCTTCAGCTACAGTTTAGTTTTTCCAGTGGATTCGCTGCAGCTGGGACCTGCCCCCAGAACCCTCTGTCCTCGGGGACCTGCAGCGTTTGTGGCCCCTCTGGCCGTGGCCGCTGGAGCCAGCGACAACACGCTCGTCAGCTTCAAAAGAAGTTAAAAAAGCTCACTTTGTGAACTGTTCTGACATAATAAAATAATATCAGGGGGTTTGGCTCTTTACTGTTTACTTTAAAGGTCAGAAAAAGCAAATCCCAGATTTAAAATTTTGATTCAAGCAAAGCAAAATACATTATTATCCTGATTTTATACCTAAGCTCCGACTCACTTTTCCTTTGCCTATATATAAAAAATACCAAGTTTTCACTGTTACAGGACGACATAAAAACTAACACTTAGAAATGCTTTTACACTGGTAATTTTTTTTCTTAAGAATCATACAATTTTGCTGTGCAGCCTCTCACCCGAGCAAAGCCACCGCAGCAGAGTTTGCTTTTTAAACACACATTTGCCAGATTCAAACTTTACGCAGCTTTGGCTATTTCTTTGTGTTTGGCTATTTCTCTGTGTCTAGAAATAACAATAACGTTTTTATCCACACAAACACACGGGTTCAACCAGGAGCAGAAAAGAGAGGCAGGAAAACCTCTGCTGGCAGCGCAGAGACAGCGGCGGGTCCCAGCGGGACCCAACAGGGCTCCAGCCACATCCTCCCCATCAAAAAGCCCTTCATCTAGTGCTCAATCCACACCGGTGACCCCGTACCCAGGAGCTATTTAAATATGCAAATACAAAGGAAATAATTGACCAAATGCTGCTTTAGCATCTCCTGGCAATCAGAAATCTGGGACTGGCCTTTCCCAGCCCCACTTGAGAGGTGACTCTGACCCACTGCTGCCTCCAGGACAGAGGGGTGGGCACAGGGGAGCAGGTCACAGCTTTGGGATGAGTCTCAGAGATCCTGCTACTTTCTAATAACTAATTATTAATCAGAGGCTTGTAAAAAGAATACATTCGGATATATATATATAGAAAAAAAATAGTATCAATGACCCATTACTAACTTAATATTCAGCATCCAAAGTAAGTCCAAGCAGGACACCAATAGCAGCAAAATAACTCAGGGTTTTGAACTACCTTGGTATTAGTAAGGCTCTTCTGTCGCCTGCCCTGGCACTCAGTAACTCCAAAAGCATGCATTTAAATGGCTTTTTAATTCACAGATGTCAGAACACATGAAGAGCACCTCACCACCCGACGCTTGCAGCGATGGAGGGCTGCGATAACGGCACCTGACAACAAAGAGAGATTCTTACTCAAAATCCGTGAGCTTTCTCTCCCACTCCAGGCCTTAACACGTCACACCCACAAAGAAATGAAGCCAAAATCGCCCTCGTACAAACCAGCCCCTGGATGGGAACTTCCCATTCAGGTTCTGTTTGCAAACAGCCCCCTGGCCCTTCCCTGCCTGCTGGGGAGGGCAATAAAGCCCCCGTGTTGCTGATGAGACTGGCGGGGAACAAGGGCTCAGAAGACAAACAATTTTATTCAGGTGAAAGATAAGAAATCTGCTCCCGTGATTCTTCAGTAAAAACTGGGCAGAGGCTGAGCTGAATTTGCTCTGAATTGCAGAGAAAACCTCCCCTCCTGTACCCCACACCAGCACCAGCTCCACCACCTCAACAGCTTGTGCTGAAGGGAAAGCAAAAACCTCCAGCCAGAGCAACAACAGCAGCAAATGCTTCCCCTCCTCGGAGCTGAAAACCTGCTTCAGAGTCTACTTGAAACATCTCTGACTAAGAAAATACCACCCCAAAACCAACCACACCCACAAAAAAGCAATGCTATGTCCTGGGCAGAGATGGCCTTGCCCCCGTGGCAGGGTGAGAGTTAAAAAAATATTTCTGATGATGAATTGCTACTTTGACATAAAAACAGTTTTTTGTGGTGTTATCCAAAGGACCTGCGAGCCCCACAGGGTACAGGGAGGGTCTGCTGCCCCCCCCTTCAGCTTCCCTGGCTGCTCTGAGCTCGCGGAGGCTGGAACAAGCCTTCACCAGAGTTCATGGCTGCTGCTCTCACGGCTTTTATTGCCCCCATCCCAGCAGAAAGAGTCCATGGGGCTGGCTCTGGGTGCAGGGTGAGCCCCCGGGGGGGTTACGTGTGCAGTTTGAACTCGTAGGTGCTGGTTTTCCACCGGTCGACGTCGGCGTCGATCATGTTGCGCTCGGTGAAGGTGACTCCTCCTTCTGAGTCCACCAGAACCACCGTGTTCGTCCTGGAACAGCACAGGAGCAGAGGGTCAGGCCTCGTGTCTGTTACAGGAATTTGCAGGCTCCCAGCCCTCATCCCCCGAGGTTTTAGCCCATTTCTTTTCCTGATCCCCTCATCCCCACACCAGCAGGGCAGAAATCGGCCCCGCAAGTTCAAACAGGCACCTTTTATCCCCCTCTGCCCCCATTCCCTGCTGCACGGAGCTGCTCATTGACACAGAGTATGACAAAAGGCATAACTTTTTTTTAGTGCCACGTGTTCCACCCAGAAGTAGCATAAAACCAAGTTTTTCTTCACAGAATTGTCTATTCAGATTTAAACATCGTTCATTATTATCCCAGGACGCTGATCCAGCCACAGGGAAACTTCTGTCTCCCTTGGAGCTTTCCAAAGGGGAGCAAAGGCAAACAGCGCCGCGTTGTCCCATTCTGGCAGCTTTGGCACAACAGTCTGAGCAGAAAGTGAGATCCTCTCAGTAAAAACAGCAACAGCAGTTACGGGAGGAGTGGAAACACAAGTTCTTTTAAACAAGAGTAACAGGTTCTTAATGTCTGCAAACAGCAGCTCCACAGAACAACAGCAGGCCCAAAGAAACCTCCAACCCAGCCACGCAGGTGGAACCATCCTCGCTCTCAGAAGAGAAATGTCTTCTGCAGTTCATCAGCTATAGCAGACAATTATGTTCTTCTGCTAAAAATATGATTTCAAAGCTTTTCCTGTTCTGCTAAACTCAAAATGAGAGGTGGTGGGATCTGCTGCTCCCCTGGGGAACCAGGAGAACCGGATTTTCCTGTCTTGGATGAACTGAAGCTCCATCACTTTAGTTTCCCACTAAAGACAGACCATGACGTGTGCTCAAAAGGCTCAGCAGCAGCAAATCTGAGACTCCAGAACATCGAGCAGGGAAATGCTGAGCCAGGAAATACTTTACTGAATGCCACCTGATTAATATTAGAACAAATTTAAAGCAGCTCATTTGGGTTTGACCCCCCACACAATTATTTCTATGAGTTTTTACCTTGTGCCGTAGCCGGGGCAGCGCACGCAGACGGCCGCGTACTTGTTCAGGATGGGGCGGATGTAATCCTTCCCCTGGGCTTCAATGGCAGGGTCTGGCAACTGACTGGGAAAAAGGAAGTATTAAATTAATAAAATAAAATAAAATACATTTAATTCTCCAACGTTAACCCATTCATCCCTCTCTGAACCACGCTGCGTTGACCGAGAGGTTGGTAAATAGCAATTGACACCAGAAACAGCTTTGCTTCAACACAAACCCCCCTAGAACAGGTAAAAGTCAGGCTAAACATGACAGTGACTGGTCAGTGAGTGATGGTATGAATTTAGAGCCCAGCACCTCCTTTACCCTGCCCTGTGTCTGCACATTTAAATGTTCAGTGAGCGCTGCGTGCAGCAATGGTGTGTGCTGGGGCTGCTGCTGGAACATCCCCATGGCTGCACATCAGGCTCTGTAGAGAGGAAAACACCACTTTTGCCCTTCTCTACCCAGCTTTAATTAGTTAATATAAGGCAAAAGTTTCTTTTCTCTCAAAGTAGTTTCTACATGCAATTTTTAAACTGGTCACATGGCATTTTGAGTAAATCCTGGCTGTCGTGTCCTTACGGCTCCTGGTTGTTCATCACGGTCAGAAGCTCCTGCACCAAGTCCTCTTTGGTCAGGTCTTGACTCCTCTTGACCACTTCTGTGAAAAGCTGCTTCCCATACTGAAGTTTCTTCCATGGTGTATCCAACAAAGAATTACTCAATCCATATATTCCTATACATAAAAAAAACCCCAAATAACTTATTAAGCTCCGGAGCAAAGAAAATTAACTTGTGTACTATGCAAAAATAACGTCATCATTATCTTATCCCACACAGTCCAAGGGACAGATGCCATCAGCAAATTCCTCATGAATCTCTTATGATAATTTGCTTATTCATCCTATTGCTAGCTTCCATTTTGCTTCAAAAAATAAGTGAGGTCATTAAGCTACGTATCGAAGCTACGTATCATGTGATAAAACAAATACAACATGCCTGCAGATAGGGAGAGTCCCCCAGGGGTGGAATTCTTATAAAATAACCATTTCCCAACAATTCCTCTGGACCACTACTGTTGACTGGTTTAGTGGGGGGAAAAAACCCCATAAACTCAATACCTAACCACAAAAAAAAACCCTCCAAAACACCCATTTCAGAGCATAATTGCTTTAAGGTTACTAAAATTAGCTAAATGTGAGATTTTCAGCACTGTTATTAATGCAATGTACACTGTGGTGTGAAATCAGGGAAATAGCAAAGCTTTTTTTTTCCTCCCAAAGATAACAGGTAGAAACTTTCTGGTATTCCATGACCTGAGCACAAAACAACTTGTAATCATGATATTGTTGAGTTTATTTCTGTAAAGCAACCTCAATCCTTCAAGCTTTACATGTCATCAAATTAATGAAATCCGTAATAAAGAGTTTACGTGATAAGTTTTAAGATTTCAAAGCAATACCAAGCAGGTGGTTCCAGACCATTCTGACTCCTTTAAAGCAGAGAGTAATATTCAGAGCTTTGTGGAGAAAACCTACCAGGATTTAGGAAAACAGGCTCTGGCTCTCCTTTGTTTCCATAGTAGCAAATTACATCTCCTTTGGTGGTACTGAAAAATATAAATAAGAATTTCTCCTTGAAAAACCATTAGCTCCTCTATTTGATTACGCTCTAATTTCATGCAATCTTCAAGCCCAGCAAGATGTTTCTCCCACCGTTACTGCCCTGACACCACAGAGATGAACTGATGAGCTCTGTTCCTCTCCTCCTCAAAACACTGCATTAGCTCCACCACTGCCAAACAGCACCGTTCTCATTTCTAAGCATACCTGTAATAAAATTCAGTAAAACCCCAGAACTGCTGCATGGGGAGCAGCCAGGCTCAATGACAAAAATCTATATGGTTTGAACAACTGGAGATGGCTCTACCTGGGGGAAGGGGACACGTTCAATCAAAGCAGAATCCATCACAGAAAGTATCATTTTCCCACCTCCTCCTTGGGATGGCTGCTGCGTCCTGAGGGGCTGCCTTAGGGGCAGAAGTAAAGTTTTAGGCCCACTACATTTTCTAAAATTGCAAATACAAGACTCTTGCACACCCTTCCCTCACCTGGACTCTGCCAGGTCTGCAAGGAGATGGGAAAAGCCTGAGCCAGCCAGAGAGGCTGAGCTGTGCTTTATTGGGCTGCAATGCTCCTTGTTTGTTGTGTGGGTGTCTATTTTTGTCAGTTAGGTTGACGGTTGGACAAGATGATCTTTAAGGTCCCTTCCAACCTAGATTCTGTGATTCTGTGAAATACTAAGCTACATGTCCAAGGTGCCCAGGACCTGACAGGAGTGAAGAAGGGATGGAGTTCAAAGGATCAGCAGACCTTCTAGGAGGAGATCTGAGTGTCTGAGCTCAGTGATTCAACCTCTGAAACCTCTGAAACCAGGATGGGGTTAATCACCTTGCTCAAAGCACGTTATGGCCTTTCAAAGCCACGGGCAGGTCTCCCCTCAGCGTTCTGGGTGCACTCTGTGTAAGAGCTGGCACACAATTAGCACTAATACTAAAAGAATCCCCTGGCAGCTAAGAAAGGGGAGCGTGGAGCAGAGCTGTCATTAATAGCCCAGCCTGACTTCTGGTCCCCAGTCACATGCCCAGGGAGAAGCAGCCATGGACTCACAGCTCTGGCACGGCCAGTTTTCCACCAACGGGGGCACAGAAGAAGTAACATGTGAGTCGAGTAAGCCAAGGGCAGGTCTCCCCTCAGCGTTCTGGGTGCACTCTGTGTAAGAGCTGGCACACAATTAGCACTAATACTAAAAGAATCCCCTGGCAGCTAAGAAAGGGGAGCGTGGAGCAGAGCTGTCATTAATAGCCCAGCCTGACTTCTGGTCCCCAGTCACATGCCCGGGGAGAAGCAGCCATGGACTCACAGCTCTGGCACGGCCAGTTTTCCACCAACGGGGGCACAGAAGAAGTAACATGTGAGTCGAGTATGCCAGGTCACCTCAAGTGACTGAGAGGGTGTCTTCCACGGAGAAAATGATGTATATTTTATTCCAAAAGCAAGTAGTAGTACTTTGAAAAATATAATCCATAACTAAGGATTAATACAATACAGCCAGTGACTGAGCACAGGGAGAACAAGTAAATCAAAGCTAAACAACAGGAACAAAGTTGGCTGCAAACGTCCTGTTTTAACATTAAGACCTGGGTCATTAAAAAAAATTAAAAAGGCAAAATCATTAAGGTCTTCATAGTGGTTTGTTTTTTTTTTTTTCAGTCAAGACACCAACAATTACACTAACAATTTTATTGATGCATTAAATACTGTCGTTTCAAATTGCTGAACCACGACTTGGAGCCACCCCAAGGCCGAGGCAGGGCAGGGGGCAGCAGGACGCTGCTTCCACTGCATCAGCACTGAGGAGCAACCCTGCCTGGCTTTCACGTTGCTGTGAAACATCTATTACTACTGAGATTTATGCTGCCTAGAATATTTCCTAGCATATTTATTATTGCTTACATTTTTTTTGACAGAATGATGCATCTAAGAGCATAATTTTTATGTAGTTTTAGTTTCTTCTCTTTCGACTGTCAGCTATGGCGAGGAATTATAAAAAAAAGTCTACTGGCTCCTATTGTCATCACTTGATCTGAGTCACAACGGGGGGAGCAGCAGCACTGCCTTCTTGGGACCTGATTGTGCAGCCACACGAGACCCCAAACCCAGACCGTGTGCCAGATGCCATACATTGAACATAACAGTACATTTCACATAATGGGACAAGTATTTGTGACTGACACCCAGCAGGTACAGCAAGATGAGAAACCAAAAAAAATTAGAAACCCTAGAAGTACTGAGTATTTTTTCCAGTACAGCATACTTATTAAAAAAAAATTAAATAAATAGCTTTTAAATTGACATCACGAGATGCCACAGAGCGAACAGATTACACTGGATGTCTCAGAGCCCATGTGTGTTTAAAATGAGAGTCGCACAAAGCTGCGGGGATAAACAATGTGATTTTCCAAGCAGCAGGGTGGTTTCCAGCTCTCCTCACATCACTGCACCCCATCACCCAGTCTCTCACCAAAATAATACTCAGAGATGATACAGATTTCTTTCCTGAAAACCCAAACATTGTCAATGTCTCGCTAAATGTGCTCCTTACACTTAGTGGTACCACGGGCTCAGACACCCCCCAAACAGGGCTTCATTCCTGAGTTTCCTCTCCATTTCCCACTGCTCTCACAGAGCCAACCACTATCCCTGGTTGTGACACAGCAGAAGAACACGTGAGGAACACTCTTCCATCTTCACTTTGCCCAGTAATGTGGCCCAATGAAACAGCATCAGCTACAATAACGTTTTCCATTTACATAGAAAAGTAACTTCCATTTCTATACTACATTTCTCTCAGGAGTGCTTCTAATTTCCTAAAATGACAAGTTTACGTGTCTTGTAGAAATTGCTCTGCATCATTAGCTTGCCAAGAATTTCATTTCACCAGGGTACCCAGGGCTAAGGACACATCAGAACGGAGAAGTTAATCAGCACATACAGCTTTCTGAGCGATGCTCGGCGAGGAATTATGGCCTGTATCACCACGGCAAGACTATTCAATTGAGCACACAATTCCCTACAGCCTGGCACGGAGGAATAAAACAAACAAACCCACCATGAATGATCACCTTAACAAATAATGGCAACCCAGTCTACTTGAACATCATTACGCTTGCAGCCGTTACGACTATTCTATTTACCTAAATTAGAATGAAACCTCAAATTTTCTTATTGCCTGCTAGGTCACACCTTGAATATCACGTTTGCTTGAAAACACAGAAAGGCTATTTATTCCATGTTTTTTTCAGTTCCAGAGAGCCTTCCAGTCTATGAGAGCCAGCCAGGCAGCACCATGCATTAACCTTCAAGGACCACCTCCTCCAAGCTCAGGAGCAACAGATCCCAACAAAGAAGAAATTGGGCAAAACCACAGGGAGGGCATTGAGGATGGACACGGAGCTCTAGACAGGTGTGAGCACACAGGTGGATGGGCAACGGAAGGGGTTGTGCCAACCACACTGACTATACCAACTATCCAACATTCTCTCTTCAGCTACAGAAACTGGAAGAAGTTAATGCATTTGAGACGTACTGATTTATTTTTTTTTTTAATGTTGCAGCAAAGATTAATGATACAGCCACTCTGGCAGGAATAACAGCTTGAAAGCTTTCAGCTGTTCTAATCCTGCCACAGCAGCCACCTCTCAGAGAAAAAAAAAAAAAAAAAGAAAAACATTTCTGAAAAATTATGGAGCCAAAGTTTTGTTTTCTCCAAAACACAAGCCACGTAGCCTTCAGGGGAAAGACTGACTATGGGCTCTTAGGGCAAGAGTCACAAGATTTGCAGGAAGCAATGATTAGAATAGAAGATAGCTCTCCAGTGAAAGATAGCAAAATAACAAAGGGAATTATGACTGGGGTAACATTGGAACCTTACACGACAATTAGCAAAACAGCTTTAGGTTGTGACAAGCTTCTGTATTGTTACACTTCTGTGCTAAGCAGGGTATGTGCACCACTGCCATTGTCTTTCTCCCTTTGACACACGAACTGTGAGGTTTTGTGGACTTACTTCAAGTCAGCTGCTAATAAATTAAATCCATTGTAAAGATGTCCTTCTACTGAAACTTTCTTCAAGTAAGAGTAGCTGTCCACATCTGCGGTCAAGAAGTTTGTTACAAGAGCACCTAAGGAAGAGAAGTACATAGAGCAACCCATACATGTGAGCTCACTATTCTGACAGGTTTGCTAAAACCAAGAATAAGACACAAGATTCCTGTTACCAACAGGGTGTAACAGTGGGAAAAAAGCAATCCAGACCAACCAACCAGCCTTTAAAAGCCTGACAGCATTGGATCATTCACATTAAGAGCTTGACTTTTACTCTGAAGAACTCAGTCAAAAGCTCTTGGTTAAAATTTCTACAGAATTCATATTTAGCAACTATTCTTGACTGGCTGTGCCTTTCCTCTCCTCCCACCCTCCCAAGCTCTTTCTTGTCTTGCTTCATTTCCCTGATGTATGGCCATAAAATGAAATACAAATGACATGGTTCGTTTGTTTCTCTGTACAACATGTTTTGCTGTTGCAATCTATTCCCAGGGCAGCACCAGATGACAGTTACAAACACACCTAGTTTTACTTTAGAAAAAAACCCCAAAAACCAGCAATCAGCAACCCACAGATGTGCTCTTATCTAGAAGGTTTTTTTCCTATTATTTCTGCTCCCCCAATTTATCAATGTGTAGGGGAGAAGAGATCTTTTAGGTTAACCTCCAGCACAGGCCAAGTCACAGTGTTTCCTTGACTTCAGTGTTTGTACAAGAACATACACATTTTTAAAAAGTCTACTGTAATCTAAATCTAGGTCAATGCTTGTCTGGTTGTCCTGACTGTTAATGAGAATTACTTTCAGGAGGAGACAGCTGGAGCTGCATTTCTTGTCTAAACATAACGCCAGGCTCTAGGTGCTGCATCTTGTTTTACTTTTGCCTGCTTGATTGGAGCATCAATATCCAAGTCCAGTTCCCCCCCCAGGTACTCAAACTCATCAGCTCAAAAACTCTGTTTACAGCATATAACCATTTTATCTGTCCATTTCCTTCTATTTCTGCTCCTTCATACCTCTTCCTTTTGCATTTTTATCAATCTTTGGCTGCATGTAGTTTGTCAGGGCTGCCATCTTCCCCTTCTTACTGATTCCCAGCCACGTCCCACCTTCTTTTCCTTCCTCCATATCCAGACCTAAGGGAACAAGTAAGAATTAGGTTATTGCATTCATTTTTTAAAATCTCGAGCTGAAATCATGATTTCTTAATGCAAATCCTTTGTCTTGATCAGGCTGAATAAAGTGCAGTAGGTACAAGACTGTCTTCCTGGACAAGGGAAGTAACTCCACTTCAATTACCCACCCTCCAGCTCTGCACTATCAAATATTTTCTAAGCTCCTGCAATAATAGATGAGAGATAAGGAGAAAATTAAATTTAAAAGCAAAATCATAAGCTTTCCCTACACTCTAAAATACATATAAAACTTTAAGTAGGCTCAGAATGCTTGTTAGCTCAAAGGCAAGTCTCAGAAGATTAATGTTATTTGGAAGTTTTAATTCACAAGTAACTGGGAAAAAAAATCTAGAGTTGGCTGGTAACTGATAAAGCTCCTGGACTCTGGTAACAGTAATTTATATTGAGGAGGGGGACCCATAAAACTGAAGCCCACAACCAAAACTCTTACAATTCTTCTTTCAATTCTGAATCATCATGTCATAAGATAACTTTTAATAAAAGATGAAAAGAACAGGTTTTGGATCTTTATTCACAAATTCCTTCTTTGCTTCTGGATCCAAAACTTCAGCCTCGGGTTTAGCCATGTCACACCTTCACACAACACCTCTGTGTTCTCTGCCGTGACTGAAAGACTCACAAATAAAACCCCACAGCTTTGCTGACCAACGCCCAGGGATTACATAGAGCAAAGCATGTTCTCCAAAACTGCTGTAAATGCGAAATATTTTTTCATTTTGAAGTCACACAAAGAAGAAATTTGGTTTATTTTGGTTCAAGTTGGTGCTTTCATTTGAGATAACATTATTAGCTCAAAGGCACACATTCATGGGATCTCCACAGATACCCCCCGGACGGAGAACAGACCAGCTCCTTATGCCAAATATGGACAGAGCTGACAAGGGTATAAAAGACAAAAATTCTGGGCCTTTCCGTTTTCAGGACAGCTTTTTGTTTGTTCATTTTAGACTGCTACGCAGCAGGGAAAGCAGGATCCAGAATGCCTGGCACAGAAGAGAAGCATCAGCCTGAGCTTCAGAAGGGAGGGGGTTGTGGTGCAGTGGGAGCGATTTGTCCCCACAGCCCTCCTTGCCAATGACAGTAACACTTGGCATCAGCAAGGAGTATTTACAATGTCAGAATCCTGCATTTAAACAACGCTTTGTCATCCAGAGCTTCATTTCTGTGTCTGAGGAAAGGCAGAAGTATTGATTACACTCCAAAATGACTACAGATAGATTCCCTACAAAGGGGAAGCCAACAGCTGAGCGACGCTGCTGTCAGCTGGGCAAAATGTAGACATGAAAGCTAATAAACTCATGGATCAATAACTAAAATCATTCTGTAGCCTATAAGTTATTAACCAATATGAAATGAGAAAGTTCTCACTCTCTTGAGGCTCGGTTTAATGATTTCAAGTCACTATTACAGTCAATGAGTCTGTGGAATAACTAATTCCACCTATTTGAAGAAGTATTTCAGTGTATCTGACAAAGCTAAAATAATCGTTTGTGATGGACAAATTAACTGCATTGCTCGGACTGAAATCAGGTAAAGAATGTAAAACTGGGAAAAAACCCACAAGATACTAAAACACAAACAAGATAATAACAGCACAGCTCATGTTTCTTACTAGAAATGCAACACCGCCACCCCAACAACAAAAAACCCAGGACACAATTCCCTTATAAATTGTATGAAAACCACTCAAACCAAGAAGACAAACATACCGCTGAGGATCTCATTGCTGCTGTCCCAAAAATCTGCCGATTTGGATGGTCTGTGGTAAAACTCATCTCGATTGGCTGCTAGAATGAGCCTGCGGAACAAGAGGGGAAAAGGATACTATTACTTACAGATAGGAATTTCACAGCAGGGGCGGGAACAGCATCCAATTCTTGCCACAGCATCAGCTCATTTGAGGTGTGAAACCGTCCTTCGTCCTCCCCCCTCACCTCTATTGTCAGAGCAAAGGCTGAGGACACCCAACGCAGCCTTCTCCCGGCTCCTCTCAGCGCCTCGAGCTCCTTGTGTGACCGAGGCAGCTGCTGTTTCCAAAGAATAATGCTTCTGGGGCAAGAGACTGAATTAAGATCGCAGAAGCAATCTGAAGATTCCTCAGCATGTGAAGTTACAGCTTCATTAATAAACATTTAAAAGGTAACCCACAGATTTATAGGCAACGTTAAAAAAAATCTGAAGCGTGAGAGGATGTTATAGTGGATTGTTACTCAGGATCATGCAGTCAGAGTATTTTTTAACCTAACTTCAACACCTAAAGCTCTGTTTATGTGGTTCAAAGATACAAGTCAGATGGTTTTGCCTGTAAGTACCGAGAACAGACAGAACAGAGAGAAATTTGTACAGTCTCAAAGGTCCAGCCCCACTGAAATACACTGGAAGAAGAGACGGCATGTTCGAGGAGGCAGAGCAGGAACGAGGGAAAGCAGGGTGTTTTGAAACAATCAAACAGTTCAACTGGTTTAACAAATTTCTATAATCTTACTTGAATATCCTCCATTAACAGGATGCATCCTCCTTTTACAGATTTTTACTTAAATAAACATCTCTACTGTTAAAAAACAGTTTGACTGAAGCGCATTTCTCATTTCCTGAAGCTCCAATCATATTTTGCCTCCAATAATTCTTGACATGAAACCGTGGTTTGTTCATAGCACCTAAACACCAAAAATAAATGAAGTCTTTCTGGTGTGATTGAATATTCCCCATCTCAAATCTAATACACAGACTCCTAAATTTAGCACAAGGCCTGTATACGGGACCACTATAATCAAAACATCTTCATTTCATCTTCTATTAAACATAATCATACTGAAAAGGGAGCAATATTAAATGACCCTCATCTAATAAATTGCAAAAAGCCTATTCAGCTATTTTTATAGCTGAAATAATTCAGCTGTATTAGGATTTACGTATTAAGATTTATTTTAACAGGCAGAGAGATGAAAACATGAGAAATCATTCCATTAAAGCAATTTCCTACAATGTAATTCAGTTCCATAAAAAAAGACACTGTGATTATAGCTTTGAAGCTTGAAACATGTATTTATTTGCAAGATGCAGACAGTAGAGTTCAGAGAAAGGCACAGGCAGCACGTTACCTTTGACAGTAATAAGGGACTGGAGTAAAGCTTTGTTACCCCGCACGAAACCTCACTACAAAGAGGTCTGGAGAGAGAACACAGAGGGAAATGGCAGAAGAGCAAGTTGCAAGGGCAAAGGAAGGTAGATTCATTAGCGTCTCACAAAGGGGAACTGTAAGCTTTGTGCTTAATTAGGTGCTCATGAAAACTGGCCGATGTGCTGCGCTGGAAACCAAAGTCCACCTGGATGGAAAATTCTCCTCAGTGTTACGGAGAACATGCTTTAGTTTGGGAAAGTTTTTTGGCTATAAGAAAATGGCCAATGATACACAGTTTGTCTTTTCAACTTTTAATGCCTATTTCAGACAGTTTCTTTTAGCTAGAGAAGGGCTTTCCAACAGCCACTGTCTTTGCTGGGCAGAACACCGAGCAGCATCCTTACAGGAAGGATGCCACTGAAGCACCAGCCTGTTTTATTTTCTCTAGAGCTGATTACAATTCTTTATCTGTAGCATTTCTAATGTCCATCCAGCACCTCACGATCATGTTTTAAAACATCGTGTTAATGAAGAGATGAATTTGCAGGGAAGCCTAGAAAGCAAAGCAGAGGGTAGCAGGAAAGCAGTGGTAGATGCCTGGTTTAACGTGGACAGGTAAATTAGTGTGTCTGCAGGGATGCCCTTTTGCCTGGGAGAACTCTTCCAATACCTCACCGTGAAACAAACAGAGCTACAGCAGAGTGGAAAACGTACACATTGTCAGGAAACAATGAGGTTTAGCAAGAGACTGGTACAGAGAAGTGTAAGGTGGTCTAATGGCTCTAATAGTGCACGGAGAACGAGGGTCCCATTCCCAGCCAACACTCACACCCACCTCCTGCACAAAGCTGAGCCAAAGGTGAAAAACCCTTAGGAACAATTTAAGAAGAAAAAAGTTCACCATTCTTTGAAATGAAGACAAGCAAAAAGATTTAGTTATGGTGTGTTAAGGAAATAAAAATTAAAAAAAAGTCCTGTATCTGATGTTAAACCTGACCCCAAGAACACCAAGGTCTGGCACCTCTCACCGAAACAGATGGTGCCAAGTAACCTCTCAGAGATACAGAGCGGGACACCACTTAACAAAAGGTACTGAGAAAGTTAAATACAATTAACTATTCCTGAATTTGGGCCAAAGCATCTCAAAAGTGTTTTCCTATTTTGACACCGATGGCAAGTTGTTTTCTGCTGTAAATCAATAATTTCAATCTTGATGCAACTTTTTATAGCAAGCAAACTACTGCAAGTTTTACTTTTAAATATTGATCGTGGCAGAAAGCTCACTTGGCAAGCGGCTACGCTTTACATCCAAGGGATCTTCCCAAGAGGCATCAAATTGATGAATTTGTCTTTTGCTAACCAGCAACACAAAGAGAGTCAGGCCAAATAAATGGATATATTAATTCAGGACCAGTCACATCGTAAACAAAACCCCTTTTTATGCAGATTCCAGATGCAGAAAGGAATGTGCTCTATGGACAACCGCAGTTTCAGTTCCCATTTCCTTTCTTTCTATGGAATGGCATCTGCTTCTCAATACAAAAGGCAGAACAAGGAGTGAGTGAAAGGCACAATGAGTTACAGAGGACACTGACAGACGGTTCCGGATGAAATACCAGCGCCTGTACCCCACAGAGTAACGTGGAACCAATAGAGTATGGACAAATAGAGAAACCAGCAGAACTCTCCAGTCTGCTCACTGGCCCCAAGTGCTGTCTTTATGACGTACTGAATGGACTCAAAGATACTGATGTTGGGTATGAACTTTTAAAATTAAGGGCCATAATGAGACAGAAAATTATTACAGGAAGTTTAATGTTTGGGAAAGTGGCTGTATGACATCAACACATCCAGTAAAACTTTCCCAGAAGCATGGATGCTTATTTTTTTTCTTAAGCTTTTGGCTAAAGATTTCATACACGTGGCTATTAGTTTATTACCTAAAATTTTAAATAAATTTAAATTTAACTACATAAAATTTTAACATGACTGTTAGTTTAGTACAGAAAATTTTAATTGCAAAATGTGCATGATTACAAATCTCGAGTCTCCTGACGTAGTCTAAAACCAGCACGTTCTCAAAAGGTTACAGTAAACCCTCCAATGGGGAAACTCATTAAATTACACGATACAAAACCATAATCGAACACATAATGCTGACTTGAGTTTGTAATTCAAACATTGGCTACAAAAATAAATTGTATAAAGAAATTGTAGAAACAAATCTGTTTTAACTAGAGCCATCTTTACCTGTATGCATTTTTTGAAACTGGTCGGGGGTCAAATTTGAATAGAAGGATGCACATTGAAGAATCGACGTTTAAATCTTGCTTCTTCCACAAAGGCTCAGTGCAAGGTCATTCTGTAATAGCCTACAAAGTAAATAAAGATTATCTATTATACTGCAAATTATAAAACGATAACCTTGCTTCTAAGCTGAAGCTTAAAGATTGCAGTGTTCTCACTAATAGCTCACAGTAAAGATAAATAAATAAAGCAGGACTTCCAAAAGAGATTTGTTTCAATGAATGGTTTACTACCAAAGTTCTTATGGTAGTTGTTTCAGAGTTATGTTTGGCTAATTCAGACTGGTAGGAAAGAAACAAGCATCGGGAAAATACTGACAAAGTCTAGAGTCCCACCAAGACATGAAAGAAAGACTATTATGTCATTTTCTGCTCATTACCAATGACGTTAACACTTTTTTTTTTTTCCCCTGTCTCCAGTAAGGCAAAATAATTCCTTTAGAATAAAGGAGAAAATAAGACTCAAACAGCTGCAGAAGCTGGAAAAAGCCTGATCAAAGACACTTCCAAACCTGTAAATAAAAATACTAAAAGTACTAGGCCAAGCAATTATGAAAACCCAGGAGAAAGTATTCTTGTTTCCCCTTGGGAAAACCATCAAGCAACCCAAGCAGCTCAGGAGTCTTTATGGCTGACTGTGGGGACCTTGTGCACCCTCAAGTCTGCCAGATTGTCCCCACTAGAAGACTGGGCTCCCAAAAATCCTCTCAAGATGCACAGCCCTGTGGAACAGAAGCCTCCAGCAAGGTTGGGGCATAAACCAGTTCCCCCTCTTTCCCAGAGGATGAGAATTGCTCAGCAGGTATTGTGTGTGTAACTCTGTGCACAGGCTACACGGAAACAAAACGGGAGATTGGGGTTTTTATCCCCCTCCTTCAAAAAGTGAATCTTTCTGCTGAAGTCATTACTGATGAGAGACTCAAATTAGGACAGGCGAGACCTTTCAACCCCTGCTCCCAACACTGCAGTTAGGACACGGCAATAAATGTCAAACTAAGAGCAAAGGTTTATTTTAGCTGAGTGATTGCCGCTGTTCTGTTCCTCGGGCAATCTCCTCGCAGACAGCTCCAGGAGGAAATGGAAACGCTCCGACCTTGACAGCAGCCTGACCCAACGTGAAATTGGGAGCAGGAGGAATGTCAATGAACAACAGCAGCACCAGGCTCGACGTCCTCCTGCCCCTTCCATGGGGGAAGCAGCACGGGGCTGGTCCAGCCACGGCTCTGAGAATTTGGGGTGCAATATCACCCTTGGAAGCTCACAAAAAACCAGGCAGATTACATTTGTTAAAATAAAGGGCAGGTAACTTCAGAGAGCTTTAGTTTGTCTTTAAGAAGTGTACCAAAAAACCACATTAAAAAAAAAAGTAATCAATCTAGATTGAGCAATTTCTTGCCTGTCTGTTGAGCAACTTGCTTTAAAAACAAGATATTAACTTACAACTCAGTTTAATAAGCAGCACCATTGTAATTACAACTTTGCATGTCCCTCGGAAGGCAAAGGGCTACAGCTTCTCCTATCAAGGATATATAACTGGCTGCCCATCAGAAATGAACTTATGGCCGTAAGGCACATGAAATAAAAAAGCATTAAGAGAGTGGCTCGTGGAACAAGCAACTTGCTGGAGTCACACTGTACACTACTGCTCTGCTCCACAGACAGACATATGACAGCTTCATTCTTTTCACCTTTTCCTCAGTGTGAGCCTCAAGATTGACATTTATAAATATTAAGCCATGCCAGACTATTTCAGAAGCAACACTCATAGCTCAGCAGAGATCCCTTCAAATCACCAGCTGAGAGGAGCCCAGCATCAGCATGGAGACGGTAGGAAATCCTTAAAGCTTTTTTTTTATTTTTGACAAAGCGCAAAGAAATGCACTTGATGAAATCAGGGATATAAAATACAACTTTAATGGGCAACTCTTGCTGACTCTGGAGATATGGCTCCAAGTATTCATTAGGTGTCCTGTCAGGTAATTAGATGGATTACGCAATGAAATCACTCATAAGACTACTATTTTAATAAACACATTTCAGGCTCCATTAGCTGATTTATTGAGTTCCCTTCACATAATCAATTCAGTACAGCTGTTTGTGCAAAGTTACTGGTCAACATGAAGCTTACGCAAGGGCTGCCAGTCAGAAAAGAGCAGCAGAGTTCATTTGTAACACTCACCACAATGATCTGGAGCAACAGATAATTTGAACACTTTGATGCCTTTCTAGACTCCATAGTCATTAGTATTGGCACCACTGCTTTGACAGAAGGGTCCTTCTGTCACCCCATCGACTCTGTTTGATGCCATTACAGTTACATTTGTGCTTTCAGTAACTCCAAATATCAACCAGTAATGTTTATCTTGGGCTCCACCTGCCAGCCTTGAAATGAGAGCCCGTGTTTATAGGCCCTACACAAACACTCCAATCTTTTCTGTTATTCAGACAGAAGTGTTCAAGCCAGATAAAACCGAGCTACCCCTTGAAATAGCAGCGATGCTTCACTGGCAAAGGGACAACCAATGTGTTCTGGTCCCTTCTCTGCCCAGGGCTGATGTTCCATCTGCATCACTCGTGTTTATCCCCAGGGCTGGACGGTGGCCTGATGGTGTGTTTGTATTGAAAAATTGTCAGTCAGACTCAAATTTGGATAGTCTGAAATCTGAGACAATTAACAAACGTTATGAGGGAAAATAAAACGAAGAGAGGCTGCCGTAGACACGATAAGCACCTAAACATTTACTCAAAAAATCCTCATCCAGGTGTCATCCTTTGCAGCTGACATTCACCGAGAGGGTCCTGCAGCTCTGGGATGGGGGAACACGTTGGGCAGAGCTGCTGTTACAGGGCAGATGTGCTCAGCTCAGCCCCCTCGGCATTCAGCTGCCGTCCCCCCCAAATCCAGGGGAAGATGGAAAAGATGAGGTCAGCACTGGCTTCCACGCTTGCAACTTGATCCTACAGCAAGTCCAAAGCTCGATCAAAAGCTTTGATGCCTTTCTAGCTCCATTTCAGCAGAAATGTGTCTTCAGAACTACCCTTAGAGACATGGGAAGCGGCTTAGTTAAAAATAAAGAGTTCAAATAAAAAAGACAAAGTCGTGGCACAACACGAGCCCTCTGGTGTTGTGTTCTGCAGACAATACAACCCAAAACGTGCAGAATGTGCAACATGACAGGGGCTGCAGAATGGCTGAAAAAACCTTACTCCAAGGTGGAGACAGCAAAGACTTACTGCTTTCTGCATAATGAGCTTTTATCAAGTCTGGTTTGATTATTCCTAGTCAATAAGACAACAGTTACCAAGGCTTAAATGACAGCAACAATCTCCTGTTTCTGTAATATGTTTCCAGTTTGCTGACTAACTTACGCCTCGTACACACAAACCAGCTTGACAAGAATTACAAACATCCTGTAATTAAGCGTTCTGCTCCAAATGGCACTGCTGATTTGGAAATGACATTAAAGTAACTAAACATTTCTTATTCTGTGCTACTGTACTCCGTTAGACAGCACGGTGTGTTGTTCTGCTGGTTTTAACGATCTGTAAAAGCCTGAGTGGATACACGCCAGCAGAAGGTAGCGTTTAGAGGGACTATCGGGAGACCCAAACGTGATAGATTGTGTTTGTTCTTTTCATAGGGTTCTACCATCATTTGGTTGATTAGAAGCAATCAGCTCACAATTTGGCATAAAACCATTTTACCCTTAAGAACTCCCAGTAGCAGCCTTTGAAAAATGAAGCCATTTGTTACATATTGTGTTTCCGCAAATGAGGCATCATAAATAACATCTGTCAGTCCCCACAGCCCGCGCTTCCAGCGCATCCCCAGCCCTCCTGGAGGTGCAGCCCAAGAGACAGCTCCACAGCATTGCTCACTGCGCTCTCCAGTTTTATGGAGCACAGCAACAACTCCCTGGTCAGTGGAATCTGAAACTATTTTACTGCTTCTTTTGAATTTCTCCAAAGGAAAGTGAGAATTACACTCCTCAAGTGCCCATAAAACAATGAAATTAGATGCATTTTCTTTCAATAGTGGAATGAGTTGGTTTTTTTTTAATACTGAACTTTAAAATAATGGAAAATAAGAGATACTTGATTAGTTTTTAAAGGTAACCCACTTTTTTTTCCCCAGAAAAGTGTCTCACAACTGCATTTTTAAAAGCATTTTACTGATTCACTTTTGCACTTCCTTTGTGTAGTAATGCTAATCATTAAAGATGAGCTGGAATAGATGGATCCATAATCGGATGCCTTTCACCTTGCCTTGTACAAAGCTGGTTTGTAACTAACCTAGGGTTTGTAACCCTGCCCAGGGGAAGGGTCAGTCTCCACCGAGCCAGCAATGCCCAGTAGGACACTTAGGCAGACACAGGAAATACCGTGTGAGGTGGGTGCCATTCCCAAGTGTCATGTGCTAATTTCATTTTCAGCCCCTCAATTTCTCTCTGGCATCCTACTAGATCAAGTCAGCAAACATCACCTTTCACACCGTGTTTTAAAAACATCTGCAAAGGCTGGAGTAAGACAGCCTTTCTCCCAGTTTCTCAAGAGTGTTAGCTTCTCCCTGCCACAGGCCTGCAGACACAGAGCCTTTTGCTACATGTCTGCCCCCTTTTAGGCCAAGACTTATTTTCAGCTTTCACAATTCCTAGGTTTTCTTCTGTGAGGAACCAGCTAGGAATCCTTTTCTTTGGGCAAGAAAGTCTATTTTCCATTTCTTATTTGTAGAAAGCATTTTACAAGTAGTTGGAGGAAATATTTAGTTTAAGAATCATATATAGTTGCTTTGTTCTTATGCTCTTCCCTAGAGATGTTCCTCTAGACCCTCCCAGAGAAAGAACACCCCTCCATATTGACCTGACCCGACCAGAATAGCTGGTCTTAGGTTCTCCAGCTTCACTTCTGGGAGGAAGGGCTGCGATCACCACTTATCTCAGTGTGGTTTTATTCCTGCTCTTCCCCCCTCATCTCCAGGAACTCTGAGCTTACTGCCTACCCTGAGCAAAACTTAGGGGGGGCGTGGGGCAGCCTGCAGACCCTGGGGGAGCAAGGAACCAACTAAAAACAGAAACCCAGAGCAGTTAAGTAGATAAAAGCAGCCCTGCAAGTACCTTTACTTAAGAAAAAAACAACATTCATTTCTTTCAAGATAGCAGGTACAAAATGAACATTGCAACAGGAGAGGAGCTTCAATCAAAGCTTATTGCTCTGAGGTCATATAATCCTTCCAGGAGACATAAGGCAAAGAGAGCAGAATTTTGTAAGTTCTGCTGTTACTTATTTAATTGCAATTTTAATGGCTTTGGTTAGACCTGAGATACCCGAATCTCTGTGTAGCCAGGATCAATTCAGTCAAACTGGAGCTAACAACTATGGGAAGCCTGAAAACAAGTCAAGTGGAAAAAAAAAACCAAACTGGAAAAAAAAGTAAAGTCTCTGTTACATATTTGACTTAAAACCAGCACAATACACGGTGGAGAGCGAGCTCACAAGTGTGTCTCAAAGCTTCCTGTGCTCTGAGGAAGCCTCATATAAACATAAACCAAATCTCTCTCAAAAAAAAACCCCAACCGACCTAGAGCTTTCGATGGCTACGAACCGACACACGGGGAGCTCTCAGTGCCCTCTGCAACTGCTGCTTCACAAACCGCCACAAAGGGCCACCGAGTGTTAAAACCATTGCTTCACCAAACTCCTGTACCCGGCAAGTTCTACCCGGCCGCCACCAGCAGCTGCCGGCGGACACATTTAGGACAAAAAGGTTTATTTTGCAAAAGGCGCTCGGGAGCCTCTTACTTCGCGCCACTCGCTGTGGGGGGGCAGCGCTGAGGTGGGGCCAACACGACAACAGCCTTAAAAGGGGGGAACTCCATAGTCATTAGTATTGGCACCACTGCTTTGACAGAAGGGTCCTTCTGTCACCCCATCGACTCTGTTTGATGCCATTACAGTTACATTTGTGCTTTCAGTAACTCCAAATATCAACCAGTAATGTTTATCTTGGGCTCCACCTGCCAGCCTTGAAATGAGAGCCCGTGTTTATAGGCCCTACACAAACACTCCAATCTTTTCTGTTATTCAGACAGAAGTGTTCAAGCCAGATAAAACCGAGCTACCCCTTGAAATAGCAGCGATGCTTCACTGGCAAAGGGACAACCAATGTGTTCTGGTCCCTTCTCTGCCCAGGGCTGATGTTCCATCTGCATCACTCGTGTTTATCCCCAGGGCTGGACGGTGGCCTGATGGTGTGTTTGTATTGAAAAATTGTCAGTCAGACTCAAATTTGGATAGTCTGAAATCTGAGACAATTAACAAACGTTATGAGGGAAAATAAAATGAAGAGAGGCTGCCGTAGACACGATAAGCACCTAAACATTTACTCAAAAAATCCTCATCCAGGTGTCATCCTTTGCAGCTGACATTCACCGAGAGGGTCCTGCAGCTCTGGGATGGGGGAACACGTTGGGCAGAGCTGCTGTTACAGGGCAGATGTGCTCAGCTCAGCCCCCTCGGCATTCAGCTGCTGTCCCCCCCAAATCCAGGGGAAGATGGAAAAGATGAGGTCAGCACTGGCTTCCACGCTTGCAACTTGATCCTACAGCAAGTCCAAAGCTCGATCAAAAGCTTTGATGCCTTTCTAGCTCCATTTCAGCAGAAATGTGTCTTCAGAACTACCCTTAGAGACATGGGAAGCGGCTTAGTTAAAAATAAAGAGTTCAAATAAAAAAGACAAAGTCGTGGCACAACACGAGCCCTCTGGTGTTGTGTTCTGCAGACAATACAAGCCAGAACGTGCAGAATGTGCAACATGACAGGGGCTGCAGAATGGCTGAAAAAACCTTACTCCAAGGTGGAGACAGCAAAGACTTACTGCTTTCTGCATAATGAGCTTTTATCAAGTCTGGTTTGATTATTCCTAGTCAATAAGACAACAGTTACCAAGGCTTAAATGACAGCAACAATCTCCTGTTTCTGTAATATGTTTCCAGTTTGCTGACTAACTTACGCCTCGTACACACAAACCAGCTTGACAAGAATTACAAACATCCTGTAATTAAGCGTTCTGCTCCAAATGGCACTGCTGATTTGGAAATGACATTAAAGTAACTAAACATTTCTTATTCTGTGCTACTGTACTCCGTTAGACAGCACGGTGTGTTGTTCTGCTGGTTTTAATGATCTGTAAAAGCCTGAGTGGATACACGCCAGCAGAAGGTAGCGTTTAGAGGGACTATCAGGAGACCCAAACGTGATAGATTGTGTTTGTTCTTTTCATAGGGTTCTACCATCATTTGGTTGATTAGAAGCAATCAGCTCACAATTTGGCATAAAACCATTTTACCCTTAAGAACTCCCAGTAGCAGCCTTTGAAAAATGAAGCCATTTGTTACATATTGTGTTTCCGCAAATGAGGCATCATAAATAACATCTGTCAGTCCCCACAGCCCGCGCTTCCAGCGCATCCCCAGCCCTCCTGGAGGTGCAGCCCAAGAGACAGCTCCACAGCATTGCTCACTGGGCTCTCCAGTTTTATGGAGCACAGCAACAACTCCCTGGTCAGTGGAATCTGAAACTATTTTACTGCTTCTTTTGAATTTCTCCAAAGGAAAGTGAGAATTACACTCCTCAAGTGCCCATAAAACAATGAAATTAGATGCATTTTCTTTCAATAGTGGAATGAGTTGTTTTTTTTTTTTAATACTGAACTTTAAAATAATGGAAAATAAGAGATACTTGATTAGTTTTTAAAGGTAACCCACTTTTTTTTCCCCAGAAAAGTGTCTCACAACTGCATTTTTAAAAGCATTTTACTGATTCACTTTTGCACTTCCTTTGTGTAGTAATGCTAATCATTAAAGATGAGCTGGAATAGATGGATCCATAATCGGATGCCTTTCACCTTGCCTTGTACAAAGCTGGTTTGTAACTAACCTAGGGTTTGTAACCCTGCCCAGGGGAAGGGTCAGTCTCCACCGAGCCAGCAATGCCCAGTAGGACACTTAGGCAGACACAGGAAATACCGTGTGAGGTGGGTGCCATTCCCAAGTGTCATGTGCTAATTTCATTTTCAGCCCCTCAATTTCTCTCTGGCATCCTACTAGATCAAGTCAGCAAACATCACCTTTCACACCGTGTTTTAAAAACATCTGCAAAGGCTGGAGTAAGACAGCCTTTCTCCCAGTTTCTCAAGAGTGTTAGCTTCTCCCTGCCACAGGCCTGCAGACACAGAGCCTTTTGCTACATGTCTGCCCCCTTTTAGGCCAAGACTTATTTTCAGCTTTCACAATTCCTAGGTTTTCTTCTGTGAGGAACCAGCTAGGAATCCTTTTCTTTGGGCAAGAAAGTCTATTTTCCATTTCTTATTTGTAGAAAGCATTTTACAAGTAGTTGGAGGAAATATTTAGTTTAAGAATCATATATAGTTGCTTTGTTCTTATGCTCTTCCCTAGAGATGTTCCTCTAGACCCTCCCAGAGAAAGAACACCCCTCCATATTGACCTGACCCGACCAGAATAGCTGGTCTTAGGTTCTCCAGCTTCACTTCTGGGAGGAAGGGCTGCGATCACCACTTATCTCAGTGTGGTTTTATTCCTGCTCTTCCCCCCTCATCTCCAGGAACTCTGAGCTTACTGCCTACCCTGAGCAAAACTTAGGGGGGGCGTGGGGCAGCCTGCAGACCCTGGGGGAGCAAGGAACCAACTAAAAACAGAAACCCAGAGCAGTTAAGTAGATAAAAGCAGCCCTGCAAGTACCTTTACTTAAGAAAAAAACAACATTCATTTCTTTCAAGATAGCAGGTACAAAATGAACATTGCAACAGGAGAGGAGCTTCAATCAAAGCTTATTGCTCTGAGGTCATATAATCCTTCCAGGAGACATAAGGCAAAGAGAGCAGAATTTTGTAAGTTCTGCTGTTACTTATTTAATTGCAATTTTAATGGCTTTGGTTAGACCTGAGATACCCGAATCTCTGTGTAGCCAGGATCAATTCAGTCAAACTGGAGCTAACAACTATGGGAAGCCTGAAAACAAGTCAAGTGGAAAAAAAAAACCAAACTGGAAAAAAAAGTAAAGTCTCTGTTACATATTTGACTTAAAACCAGCACAATACACGGTGGAGAGCGAGCTCACAAGTGTGTCTCAAAGCTTCCTGTGCTCTGAGGAAGCCTCATATAAACATAAACCAAATCTCTCTCAAAAAAAAACCCCAACCGACCTAGAGCTTTCGATGGCTACGAACCGACACACGGGGAGCTCTCAGTGCCCTCTGCAACTGCTGCTTCACAAACCGCCACAAAGGGCCACCGAGTGTTAAAACCATTGCTTCACCAAACTCCTGTACCCGGCAAGTTCTACCCGGCCGCCACCAGCAGCTGCCGGCGGACACATTTAGGACAAAAAGGTTTATTTTGCAAAAGGCGCTCGGGAGCCTCTTACTTCGCGCCACTCGCTGTGGGGGGGCAGCGCTGAGGTGGGGCCAACACGACAACAGCCTTAAAAGGGGGGACAGACACGACACAGGACGGGGACGACGACAGCCATAAAGGGGGGTGGCAGCCCCCGCGGGCTCGGGGCTCGGCGGGGAGGGACCGGACCGGACCAGGCCGCGCCGCGGGCCCGGGCTCCCCACTCCTGACAGCTGAGGCGACTCAAGGCCATTTCCGAGCCCGGCCCCCACCCCTCCCACCCAAGCGCGAAGCAGAAGGGGCGCCGGCCCGAGGTGACTCCGCCGTGACCCCGAGAAGGACGGGGACGGGGGTACGGTCCCGCCGGACCCTGAGGGGAAGCGCCCGCCGCGGCCCCCACTCACCCCGCGCGCCGCCACCACCGCATCCCCTCCGCGCCGCTTCCGGGAGCGCAGCCAGTTCAAAACAACGCCCGCCCCTATTGGCTCCGGGCGCCCCGCCCTCCCGAGCGCTATTGGGGGGCGGCTCCCCCGCCTCTCCTCCTCAAGCTGTGATTGGCTGGCTCGGACACAGGTGCCCGCTTGGCACCGCCCTCTCCCCGTCCCCGCGCCGCCATGAGGGGGGGCCGCCATAAGGGGGCCGCGGCCTCCTGCCCCCGGTGCATCCCGGGGGCTGCCGTCGGGCCTGAGGAGGGGCTGCCCCGCCGTGTCTGGAGAGAGGAGGCGGTGCTGGAGGCCCGGCCCCTCCGCCGCAGCCCAGCGTCCCTGTCCCTCACAGAGGCCGGGAGAAGCCGTCTGTGGTACCGTACCTGGGCTGCTGTTGGCGGCCTGTCCTGGTTTGAGTGACATGGGGCTAATTCAGCTTCTAATGCCGGGGAAAACGGCACTTTTAGAAAACTCTGGTGTCTGAATTTGTGAATATACTTACTCTGTAACCACCTCTGGGGTGTGGGTTTCAAGGTCTCGGTGTTTTTGAGCTCCCCGGGTGTGGGAATGAGGAGGAGTGAGGCCCAGGCCCCTCACCCAAGCTGCCAACGGGGTTATTTCATACCATGGATGGGATATTCAATGTCAATTAGAAAGTTTGCTGAGTTTTCTCTCTCCCTTGATGGCTGCAATCCTGAGAACTCCTTGCCCTGGTGCTGGACCCCGAGCCCTTCCCACCAAAGCTATAGCACTCACGGTGTCCCAAATCTAATGCTTTATTAATGTTAATTAACAAGTCTTATTCTATTCAATCTGCTTCTGTTTCAAACTTCAGGTTTTCTTGGTTTTCCCCTGATTCCCCTTCCTGGGTGGGGAGGGGTCATCAGGTGATAGAATAATTGCCTTAATGACAATAAATTGCTGTGGGTTCCTCAAACCACAGCACCACCTCAGCCCATTTCCAGTCTGTTTTGTTTCAAGGTATGAAATAATGGCATCAAAACCCTGATCTGAGCTCCAAAGGGCTTGTACCCCTGAGGACTGATACACCCAGGGCCGGGTTGTTGACAATCTTGGTGAATTTGGATGGAGATGACACCCCTGTAGATGAGGGATGTGTGTTAAGGTGACTGCCCTCGGGAGAGACTCCGCTTCCAGAAAGGCCCCGAAGTCGCTGAGCCCTGAGCAGGCAACGGTATGAATTCAGGCCAGGACAGCTTTCCTGAGGATTGAGAAAAACACAAGTGACAAAGTCAAATTTGCTTTCAGTTATTAAGCACAGCATAATGAGAACTGATAATTAAACATTTAGTAATTTTACTTAGATGTGCAGATTTAGGCTGGGATTGGATCGGTGCCACCTCTTTGTCCTTTCGTACTGAAATGTTACCTTACTCGTGGGTTTCTCAAAGATTTCAAACTTTATTCCTGACTCTTTTTCACAGGTGGCAGTAGAGGGTTTCAGTGGAGCCTGTAAATTAAAACTGTTTTATGGTGAAGACCAGAAAAGCCTTTCCTGCTCTTCTGGGGTATCACACTGATAACCAGAGCCCACACAAGACACAGGACGCTAACGGAAAGAACTCCCAGGGGTACACGAGTGTGTAACGTGGCTCGTGAGGCAGAACTTTTCATCTTGGATGCAGAGAACCTGAAGTCAGTTGTTGGCTTTACTGGTCTGGCGTGTGACATTGAGCAAGTTCATCTCAATATGTTCTTTCTCCACTGTTAACAGGATGATGGCATCACGAGGGCTTTTGAGATCTACTGGTGAAAATTGCTGTGTGAGTGTCTCATCATCACTATTCGTACTCTTGTTTTGAAACACAGTAAGAAATTGTAGTTATTACCTACATATATCAACCTTGATACATACAAATCTAAAATATATTTATGGTTTCAGGTACAGAGATGTTATTTAAAACAGTTATCTGATGAATAAGTAGACAAGTTAACATTGGTAAAATGGGTGTGCGTTAAATGTAATTTATTGTTCTTTGCTGTCCCTCTCTTTCTCTGAGAATAGACTCATCGCTGTGACCAAAAGATTATTTAGGTCCTGCACTTGCTACCCAGAGAAGCCTCAGGAGCGGGGTCTGTGTGCCTTCAGCAGGAGTCACGGCCGGGGGAAGAAGAGAACTCTCCATAGGCTTAAAACTCAATGGTGCTAGTTTTTACCGATTGTTAGTCGTTTCGTTATCTTTAATACACACGGGAAGTTGGAATAACTTCAGAGTCATTTAAATACGGGGTTTTTTTTTGAGGCTTCCCAGCAGCAGCCGCCGCGAGGGTCCGTGAGCGCCGGGTTCGGTGCCCGTTCTGACCCGTCCTCCTCTCCCCTGGCTCTGCGCTCTGCTCTGCCCGAGCCAGCTCGGTTACTGCTGGCCCTCGGGCACCCTCTCCCCGGGGAGCAGCGTGCGGCTCCCGTTGTTAGCCAAGCTCGGGGGGTCCCATCCCAAACCGGCAGAGACCCTGCAGCCGCTTGGAGCGTCCCCGCTGCCGGGAGCGGTGCCGGCCACCGGCTACGCACCGAGCGGCTCCCTAGGGAAAGTGACGGGCAGTCCCGCCGGCCAATGGCGCGCCGAGCGGCCTGCCGGTGGGCGGAACGGGGGGCGGAAACGCACCAATGAGACTTCGGTTGCTAGGCGCGACGGCAGAGGAAGTAGCCAATAGGAAAATTCGCGGCAGGGGAGCAGCGGGCCGGTTGGCGTGCCGGGCAGCGCGAGGCTGTGGCCGGCGGCGGCGGCGCTGCCCCCCCCCTCCATTCTCCGGGCGATGGGGCGGGCGAGGGCGCCTCCTCCCTCTCGCCAGTGCTCCCCCAGGTGTGAACGTTGGGCAATGATAAAGCCCCTCTTTAAAAAAGAAATATATAGATATAGTTAGAAAGACGTTAGTGAGGCGGGGTCAGGGGGGAGCGGGTCTCCTCCTGCTGGGCCTGTCCCGAGGGGCGCCCGGGCGGCGCGGCCGTTATTTCTCGTCACGGCGCGTTGGGCAGGACGGGCGGTTTCTGCCCGGGACCCTGCGCTGGAGCGGCCTCGGGGCTCCTCCGGCGGGGCCGGTGGCGGCGGGGGCAGGAGGGGAGTCGCCGCTCGGGCGGGGCGGGGAGGAGAAGCCCGGCGGGGCCGCACGGACGGAGCCATTTGGTGCACCCGCCCCCTCGGAGCCAGCAGGAGGAAGGAGAATAAGCTGAGGCCGGAGGAATCGGAGGAGCCGGAGGAGATGGTGAGCGGATGGCGGGGCCGGGGCGATGAACGGGGCGATGAACGGGGCTGTGCCGGGAGAGGCGGGTTCTGGGAGAGGTTCCCGCAGGACGCGGCGCCTTCGGGGGGATTTTGCATCGCGGTTGTTGCGGACCGGGCGCCTTTGTTTGCTAAAGGTCGGGGTTTATTCCGCCGCTCGTTGCGGGATGCGCAACCGGGAGTGGGGGGGTGCGAGCGGCTGGGGGTCCCTGCGGGAACCGAGCGGACAAGCGACCCCCGAACCAACCGACATGGTGTGGGTCCCGCGGTGGGGCGGGCAGCCCTGGGAGGGAAGGCATTGATGGATTGATTGCTCGGGTTATTGCACGCAGAGGAGATGAGTCGCTTTGTAGCGAAGACCCAACAGAACTAACCCATTTCTCCGCAAACGTGAAATCCACCAGACTTCAACTTGGTTAATTTCCTCCTTTTCCTTTTCTCTGCCGTATTGCTGTAGGTGATTAAAATCTAATGTTTGCAAAACTTTCTTGAAAACGTTCACTTCTAGCCTGCAAATAGTAAAGACTTTCTCCCCCCCCCCCCCT